AGTTTCAGAACAGCCAGGGCAATACACACACACACACACACACACACACACAAAAAAAAAAAAAAAACAAAAAAAAAAAACACCTCTCTCAAAAGAAGGAGGACAAGGAGGCAAGGAGGAAAGTAAGGAAAGAAGGGAGGGAGGGAGGGAGAGAGAGAGAGAGAGAGAGAGAGAGAGAGAGAGAGAGAGAGAGAGAGAGAAAAAGAAAGAAAGAAAGAAAGAAAGAAAGAAAAAGAAGGAAAGAAGGAAAGAAAGAAAGACTATATTAGGGGAGATGGCTCAGCCATTAAGAGCATGCTTGAGGGGGTTCAGTTCCCAGCACCCACGTCAGGCGGCTCACAACTGCCTGCAACTCCAGCTCCATAGGATCCAATGCCCTCTTCTGGACTTTGAGGGAACTGCACTTATGTGCACATAAGCACACAGACATATATCAGAAAAAGAAAACACTATAATTTTCTATAATAAAGTTTTACAGATTTTTTTCTTTTTCTTTTTCTTTCTTTTCTTTTCTGTTTTTTTTTTTTTTTTTTTTTTTTTGTTTCTTGAGATAGAATTTTTCTGTGTAGCCTTGGCTGTCCTGGAACTTGCTCTGTAGACCAAGCTGACCATGAACTTTGAGATCCACCTGCCTCTGCCTCCAGAGTGCTGGAATTAAAGGCATCCACCACCATCACCAGGCTGGGCTTATTTCTTATAATGACAATTTAAGCCTAAATAAGCCAAACACTTATATTTATTTTTGGAAAACTAAAAGAAATTTCAAAAACCTTCCAGACTCAACAAATAAGGGGTTAATGGCATATTATTTGCTTAGCATGTTTGAGACCTTGAACTCAGACCCCAGCACCAGAAAGATGGCTCCAAACCAACAGATTCAATAAACACATTAAAAATCAGCCAAACAGCAATAGATAGATTGTGTGAGGGCCATACTCTGATGCCAGCCGAAAGTCACAGGAGGCTGAAGAGCTTTCCGGAAGCCATGGGCAGATAAGACATGTTTTACCCACCCACACACAGGCAGGCAGGCACAGGCACACACAGGCCACACACAGACAGACACAGGCACATGTGGGTATGGTGGTATTTTATTTGTACTAAAATGTGATTTGTATGTTAATAAATAAAGTTGCCCGGGGGTCAGAGCTATTAGAGCCATAGCAAAAGCTGGGCGGTGGTGGTGCACGCCTTTAATCCCAGTACTTGGTAGGCAGAGCTAGGTAGATCTCTGTGTGTTCAAGGATACAGGCAGCATTGGAGACACACGCCTTTAATCTCAATCCCAACCATAGAAGACCTGGAGGTCTGTACAGACAGGCAGTGACAAGGCGGTCATGTGGTTGGGTTTACAACCAATGAGAAGGCAGAACAGAAAGTCTATATAAAGACAAACACACAGGAAGTAGGTCTCTTGGCTGAAGAGGATAGCTGCAGCAGTGATGGGTAAGGCTCTTAGCTCTGACCTCTTGGGCTTTCATCTCTGCATTGGCTCTGTGTTTCTTATTTAAGAAGACGGTTACTTCTGCACGCGGGTCACACACAGGCAGGCACACACAGGCAGGCACACACAGGCAGGCACATGCACAGTGGGCTGTCTGTCTTGATGCAGAGGCTCAAGCCTCTGACCTCAAGGCTACATTTATACAGAACCACACAAGTGGCTTCTCTGCAAAAACACCTATATAACAGATTACATCACTGTTTGCTTTTGGGGTCCCCATATATCCAGTGTCAGCCATTTTGTGCTGATTCATAGCTCCCCTGGATGTCCAGTGCAAGCCATGTTTTAGCCGACTTTTGCCTGTAGCCTGCCGACCCAGAAGTAAAACTCTGGGCTCCTTCTACAGCACCACATCTGCCTGTTCACTGCCATGCTTCCCACCATGACAACAAGGGACTAAATCTCTGACCTGTAAGCTAGCCCCAATTAAATGTTTTCCTTTATAAGAGTTGCCGTGGTCATGGTGTCTATGTATAGCAATAGAACACTAAGACATGCAGAACAACAGTTCAATGTTGTCTAAACATAGACTAACCCCTACTGTTCCAGATAGATAGATAGATAGATGATAGCTAGGCAGATAGATGACGCATGAGTCCCTGGAATCCTGACCAGAGAGCCAGCCTGGCCAGTATGTTACACCATCATGGTGCCTCTCTGTACTCTGACATTCTTCTCCCTTCTCTCCAGGAAAGTGGAAACACACAACTTGTTGTGGGATGCCTTTCTGTATGCTGTGAATATATGCTGTTCCCATTGGTTGATAAATAAAGCTGCATTGGCCTATGGCAGGGCAGGATGGAGCCAGGTGGGGAAATCCAAGAGAGACAGTGAGAGGAGAAAGGAGAGTGGGGGAGATGCCAGACCGCCATCCAAGGAGCAACAAGTAATGGGACGCAGGTAAAGCCACAGAACATGTGGCGACACATAGATTAACAGAAATGGGTTAATTTAAGATGAAAAAGCTAGCTAGCAAGAAGCCTGCCATAGGCCATACAGTTGGTAATTAATTTAAGCCTCTAAGTGATTATAAGCGGTTGCAGGACCGCAGGGCCGGGCGGGACAGGAGAAACTTACAGCTACAAGGACTGCTCCTTTTGTGTTGACTTTGTGTTGTTCCATGAGGCTAGGGCAAGGTGTAGAAGACAACAGGATTTGTCACCAGATGCTACTCCACAGTCTGTTTCCGAGCAGCCTCTAGCTGCTCCACATGCAGGAAAACGTGGACGTGCACACTTAGCCTTCTTACATGCATATTTAAAGTGCACACTTGACATACCCACCTTTCTTCCCCGGTGTGTGCGGGGTGCGGGGTGGGGGGAGCATCTGCAGCAGTTACTATGTCCAAAGGCTGTGTATGGCTCACAGACACCCAGGCCCAGGGACGGAGGGATATCAGCTCATCATAGACAGCCACTAGGCTCTGGCAATCTGTGAATGAATGAATGAATCATTAACCATGTCCTACACATCCAGAACACAATGGTGGAAGAGAAAGATGTCACTAGTTGAAAACCTAACTCTACACCGAGAACTCTCAACCATCAGTTGATTTCATCTTCCCGAAAAGCACAAGATTCTGGAGGCTCCTCTCGAGGTGAAGAAGGCAGTAAGCAGTTACAGGGGAGAGGAGATTCTTCAGCAGAGCTGCCTGCAAGTTGAGCAGCTCTTGGGAGTTGCCACTCAGGCTTAGTCGGGGGCTGTTGGTGCAGCTGTCGTGGAACCACCCAGGGTCCTGTAATCAACTCCAGTCAACTCCCTGCTTCACCAAATCTAGGTGGAATCGTTTCTCTGCTATGTCTTTGGGGCCCTGTCTGGGATGAATAGACAGTTGTTCTTGTCTATGTTATAGGTAAATATAAATATAAAAATTTTTCCCCTCCTGGAAAATAGTCAGCCAGACTAGGAGCCCATGGCTCTGATTTATAGTAATATGTCCTGTGGCTGTGACTGAGTGGCATGTGCCCACATGGCAGCCCTGTTCCTGTGGTCATGGCTACTGCACCTCTCCCCTCCCCCCACACACATACAGCTTAATGGTACTAGACTGTCCATCAGCTTTGGAGAAACTTGAAACAGCCATGTTCTTGGCAGATCACATCTGAGGGCATGTTGCTGTAGTGAAACAATGGCCTCTATGTGGCTCAAGGCCCTCGAGGAAGGAAATCTCACGCCTTTGCTTCCTCAGAAGGGGTAGACCTACTGTATTTCCATGACTGTTCTTGTCCCTTCAGGTTCAGATAAAGTCAAGAATTTGGCCCCCGTAGTTCTGAAGGCCACTGCATCTGGCCCTTTGCTGGCTGCTGGCTGCAGGCGGGGTTCAGAGCACTGACTTCTCCAGCAAGCCTGGCCCAGGGGCCCTTCTCATACTGTCGATTCCCAGATACGCAGTGGGGGTTGGGAGACCCACTTTCTCTGGGCCTCAGTTTATTTGTGAAGCAGGCACAAGTATATCTGCTTGCTTATGAAACCATGGGAAAAAATGTGCAGCCGTCCATGTGAAGTGCTCAGAACAGCTCTGGCAGCCATAGGAACACAGCCAACACAGGCTATCACATACAAAGGGAGGGCCGGCTGTCCCAGGCTTCATGTGTGCTAGCTGGGCTGGAAGCCTGTGTCTTGATGGAACCACTCTGAGGTTACTAATAAAGAGGTGGAAAGATGCTCAGTGGTTATGAGCATGTGCTGCTGTTGCAGAGACCCCAAGTCCTGTTCCCAGCACCCACCTCAGGGAGTCCACTTGTAACTCCAGCTCCAGGGGATCTGGTGCCCTCTTCTGGCTTCTGTGGGCACAAGCACTCATATTGCACCCCTCCCCATATATACACATAATTAAAAATAAAATAAATCTTTTCTAAAAACAGTTACTAATAAGCCAGGCCTGGTTACACAACTCTTACCCCTCTGGTTCCCCCACTGCCCAGTGTGGCTCTCTGTCGTAGAATATTATTTTAAGGTGTTACTTTTGTTTATGTTGCGTTTGTTTAACTCTGTGAAGCTGAGTCACTGTGCTGTCTAAATCACCTGATGGTCTAATAGGCGGGGCTGGCAGGCAGAGAGGATATGTACAAGGAGAAATCTAGAAGAAAAAAGAAGTAACCAGAGAAGGAGGAGGACCCAGGGGCCAGCCACCCAGATCCACAGCAAGCCACGGAGTAAGAGTAAGATTTACAGAAGTAAGAGAACGGGAAAAGCCCAGAGGCAAAAGGTAGGTGGGATAATTTAAAGTTAAGGAAAGCTGGCAAGAAACGAGCCAAGCTAAGGTTGGACGTTATAAGTAAGAATAAGCTTCCGTGTGTGATTTATTTGGGAGCTGGGTGGTGGGCCCTCCAAAGAGCAGAAACGAACAGCAGCTCTCCCTCCTGCAGGGCTCACGCCCCTGACCCAGCACGCCATCCAGGGCTCCACAGGTCTCCCTGCTACCCCTCTCCTCCCAGCTCTGGCATGCCCTGGGTACACACACAGATGACAACAGAACCCACCACACATCAAAAACTGACCGAGAACTATTTTATTTGAAGACGTTTCCTTCCATAGTCCAAAGAAACAAAATGAATACAGCTCTGTGGCTCACAGGTGTCGGACACAATCATTGTTGTGGTTTTGTGACAATGTTAACGTGTGTGTTTATTCCACACTCCAAACTATGGACTCAATACAACCTTTCAAACAAAGAAGGTGTCAGTCATAACAGAACATAACTTGGAGATTATTCTGTTCCATAAAATGACAGCTAGATAAGAGAAGGCTGGAAGGACAGTGCAGTGCCCACTCTGAAGTGACGGAGAACGCAAATCACATTTCCCTTTGCTTTGCCAGTGACAGACTATGTGAAGCACCAACCAGACCTACGGAAACATGAAGCACCCTGGGCTCTTCAGAACAGACCCTCTTTTACATTTCACGAGCTTCCTGTAGGAATGGGTGACCATGGCTGTGTCAAGCTGGCCATTGCTACGTATATCCTGTTGTGTTCTCAGACTAACAAGAGAAAGTGGAAAGCAAACATGTACACGGAGCGTAGTCACCAGCAAGGCAAACTCAACCAATCGGTGGACAGTGTCTGAGGGAGCATTGCTGAGTTCTCCCACTGGAATGCTTTAAAGGCACAGGCCAAAACGGACCAGCGCTGAGCTTGCTCACGCCAAACCCTTACCCAAGGGCCGCCCTTCTCCCTCATTAGAACCATCTGCAGGGCTACAGTGCTGAGTGAATTCTAAATAAAACAGACTCCATGTCATTTTTTTTTTTGTTTTCACAAACTATGAAGTGCAAGGATTATAAAAAGTAGTTTTAACTTTTCAAAAAGCATATAGTAAAAAACTGAAACATGGGATGCGGTGTTCAGACTTATGGACAAACCAGCTCCCAGGATTATTTCTAAATCATGAGGCACTGGGAAGATTGGGCCAAGATGCAAGAGGTGGCCAGACCGAGTGCAGTGTGCCCGACTAAAACGGGCATCTTTGACGACACCCTGGTTAACGTGAGAGTGCACTGTCACAGGGACCAGGCTTGGTCAGAGTCTCCGGGCTCAGCACTGTCTTGTACTGGCACTCAGGTGTTTCTGGTCACCCGGGGAACAGAGTTGACACAGTTCACTGCTTCCAGAGATCACGGCTCCCTTAATGGCCACTGTCTCTGAAGCAGGAGTGGGAACTAGTATTCATTCCACTCTGGCAGGCTGGCAGGAATATCTGGTATCACTGAACCCTGGCAGAGAGGGAGGGGCACATACCTCATAGTCCCTACTCGTGGTCTAAGAACAAGGGGCAGCCTTCAGCAGACCCTCAGGACAGGTTAGTGAGTGCTAAGCATGCTCACTAAACACCCTTTGACAAAGACAGCAGAGCGCCTCCTATTTACGTCTTTGGCCAAACAGGCTTGAACTTTACCTGGAAATCTGAAGACCACACCCCTAATGCACTATAAACATTAGTACAAGGACACATTTACCTCTGTACTCTGGGTATAGAGATGCAGCACCCTCTCCCTCACTCAGCTTGAATGAAAACCTAAGGCATTTGGAGTTGCTCGGGTTCTTGGCTTTAGAAATAAAACAAAACAGAAAACATCAGGGGCAAAGTCTCTTTGGTTTCGTGCTTAGTCTTAAGCCTTTTGTCTCCTGGCAGCATCCCCAGCCTTCTCGACTCTGATGCTACATCTTAGAGCAGAACGCAGAAACGACGGATTCTCACACATCCCAGAACCTTTCCAGGGTACCAAGATGAGAAGCCTCTGAAGGAGTGCTGAGGTCAGGGAGCAAACACCTTCCGCCAACCCTGCTCCAGACTCTTCCATTGACACTAGCCTGTGAAATAAAGGCTCTGGCAGGCAGCTCCCACCGAGTGTTCTCCCGACACTTCCTGACACAGTCTGAACCCCTCAGAAGCATCTGGGGGTGGATAAGGCAATAGAGAATGGGAAGAAAACAAATAAAAATATTACACAAGGCGCTGCCTGAAGAAGGGAAGGGTTTCAGGGACACTGTCATCTGGCTGAAGTCTCCAACTGGTACCAGCCAAACCAGAAGTGCCCACACAGGTGAGGGCACAGGCAGGCAGGTGTCACAGGAACCATCCAGTACTACGACATGCCTCCCTTCCCCAAGCACAGCTGGCAGCAAGAGTAACAACATTCTGTTGGGAGTCTATGCATCTAACTCCGCATATCCACAGATAGCACAAGGGTAACAATGATCTGTTGGGAGTCTATGCATCTAACTCCTCATATCCACAGATAGCACAAGGGTAACAATGATCTGTTAGGAGTCTATGCATCTAAATCCTCATATCCACAGACAGTACAAGGGCAACATGTCAAGCCCGGTTGCTAAGAGTTTGTGGATGATAGTAGTACAAATCCATTTGGTCCAAGAATCTAGTTGCTGGTGTTAGGAAATACATCCAAAGATGGCCCTTAGGAACAGAACTGGTTGACCGGCAGACACACAAAAATGTACTTTTAAGATGTATTTTCTCACAAGATAATCGCCCATCTTCGTCCAACGCTAATTCAACGCCCATCTCCTCTGAATATGAGGGTTAGGTGCGTAAGGTGAGAAAGTGAAGAGCCACGGCGGCAAACATAAATTAGATTTTAAAGTGCACTAATGAAATTACAGACCCCCCAAATTCAATTCTTCAATGAATTAGATCAAATCTATTTAAACACCATTGTTGGTGAAGATTTCAGTTCAGAGTTTTTGTTTTTTTAAAAGAACCTAGTGAAACAATTTAAAAATAATAAAGGAAGGAAGGAAGCCATGGTTGCAAGAGGCTTTCAATCCCAGCACTGGGGGGCTGAGCTGAGAATCCCGAGTTTGGGCTATCCTGGGCTATAAGGCATCAGCCTGCAAGCTTCCAATAGCATAAGCAGGTTACTGATTGACAGCTACTGGTAGATCTGGTGACAAGACACTGAGATCTGTCACCAAGTCCCCATGTCCCAAATAAACACTGACGGAACCTTTTTTTTTTGGTTTTTCAAGACAGGGTTTCCTTGTGTAGTCTTAGCTGTCCTGGAACTTTGTAGACCAGGCTGGCCTCGAACACAGAACTTTCAAATAGTTGGGCAAATAAGATTTTTATAACTAGGCTCTCCGGGTATATTAGAGGCATGGCTGTAAAGAAACCCTGAAGTGACTCCCTAATGACACTGAAGACCTACTGGGGGGGGGGGCAGTCATTCCCCCCATGAGCAGCCACTGGGAGAGCAGCTTTGTGAGGAATGAATCTGTCTGTAGTTTTTGTTTTGCTATGGAGCTTTCCTAACTATGCAAGGCGGCCGTCACTGAAAGGGCACTGCCCACTGTCTGATGCTGGGGAAGAGACGGAGTCCGGCTCGTTTAGCTAACCCCACTACAAGATAGCAGCTGGTTATAGCAAATGGTCTTCAATCAAAACTCCTGTAGGTGAGGGCCTTGTTGCTGTAAGTGCTGGAGATTAAACCTGGGGTTCTTGTGCATTCTAAGTGGGCCCTTGAATTTTTTAAGAAACACAGACCCATGATTTGCAGGGTCCCTTTTTTCCTTGTGAACAGACTTGGTGAAATCCCCAGAGCTGTTCACAGCTGTTGGCATGAGAGCCATGAGGCCAGCACCTCCCCTTAGTTCAGACACACCAGCAGAGGTCATTCCATATCTGTAAAGAACCTCACCCCTGCTTTCCAGCATAAATGAGCTACAGCCACCCTTGCCTTTGAAAGGCAGAACGTAACTATACAACTGAGACTAAGTTGGAGGCTTCCTCATCTAAATGTGCAAAAGTTTGTTCTGTTTTGTTTTTTATTTTAAATCTTGAAACAAGATCTAAGTCAATACATTCAATAAAAATAACTCATAAAGGCATGTTTCCTTATGCGGTACTCCCTCATTTAAGACACAATTTATAAAACGTTAATAGCAATCTTCTAAAAACAAAAATCTCACAATGCAGGGTCTGTGACCCATGCAGACCTGCATTTGCCACACAAACATATGAAGTTGACAAGTCTGCTTACACAGCATTCTCAAGTGGCTGAGAAGGTGCTTATCCAAGTTTTTGGATGGACCGGTTGGTTGTGTGGATTCTCTGTCTGGTTCTACCATTGCATCAGGCCTGGTGCCATAGCTCAGGGGCCCCTGAGGATGCTGTAACTCTGGCTAACACAACATCAGGACCTTACTTAAAACATTAATAAGAGTTTTGTTTTTTTTTTAAGGTAACTCAGTTGTGCACAAACTTGATAAATGGTAATGCAATGTCTAAATGTCAAAAGATTGGACACACCTGTTAGGGTTCCTGAAAGCAAATATACAATAAAATGCTTGACCAGAAAAACGGGGTGACAGGAGGCTGGAGGAGTGAGGAGGTGGCTCCTAACACTTGTCAGAAATACTGAACATCCCCTACTAATGACATCTCAGGTGACCTGAAGAAATACTATTTTAAAGTAATCTTTATGGGACTAGCGTGAGGCCCTAGATTCCACCCGCAGTGGGGAAAACACAGAACAAAACCATGACTACTATCACGTCATTGGCCCTGGTGGAAAAACCCCAGCAGTCTACTTTTTAATGTTGGGTTTTAGTTGTTGGCCCAAGACTGTTAATACTTATCATGACATTTGTTCCCATGATGTAAAAAACAACCTATAAGGAATAATGTTGGTTTCTTTCCCCCAAGTTTTCAAGTAATTAGCTCAAGAAAGCTTATTTACAGCTGAGCCTCCTACGTACATGACCTACGTTAGTCTACTTTGTCCCCTCAGGGATCAGTATTTCAAAGAGTTGCTTTTTTTTTTTTTTTTTCTTGAACCAGATCTTTCTTTTAAATACTATTGAATCGTTCAGGTCTCTGCTTTATTGGGTAGATAGAGAGAGGAAATCAACAAGTTATGTCCGAAGGCCGGGAACCGCCGGAAGGCTTCCCAGCTGTCTGCAAAGATGTTGTACTTGAGAAACACTCGGTGCTCCAAGCTGGTGGACAGAGTGACGTCCCTGCTCATGATGTAGATGCCATCATTGTGCAGTGCACACGTCAAGTTCAGGCCCGATTTGGACGTGTTCTCTTTCAGGTAGAGCCACTGCCGCGTGACCGTGTTGTAGGACTGCACGGTGAGCATGTCCTCACTCTGGCTGCTCCTGCGGTTGGGACCCAGTTCATGGAGACAGCCACCCACAATGTAGATGGTCTCCTCCACAGACACCATCTGCTGCTTGCGGATATGGACATCACAGGTCTCAAACAGCGTCCAGAGGTCAGAAGAGGGGCAATACTGCAGGATGTTCATGTTGCGATCTGAAACACAGAAAGAGGCCGGTGACAAGCAGCAGGGGTTTGCGCTGCCCGGGCAGCGGGGAGGCATCTTCCTCCACACATACCATGTGGCCATGGGCAGGTGAAGCTCAGTCAGAAAGGCCGGGAACGGTTTTCCAAGCAGATGGGTAAGAGGTCATCCATCTGGATTCTCCTCTACTGCCTTCCTCCCAGGCACCCCTTTCTTAGGAGGCCCTGAGAACCACAAAGTCAGAAGCCAGGCACGGTGGCTCATGCCTATAATCCCAGCACAGGGAAAACCGAGACAGGAGGACCATGAGTTTGAAGGCAGCCTGGAAAGGTCAGGTCCTACCTGGTCAGGCCTAAATAAACACTGTGAAATGGTACTGCCTGCCTCAGGAGAAAGTGCTATACAACCCTTAGAATGCCTCATAGGGCCTGCTCTCTGGCCTGTGCAGCCTGCCCTTCCTGGTAACCCGCTGAGCCACACGATCAGCATACAGCCCAATAGCCTGGCTCTCAGGGACAGCCTGGAAAGGCAAGGCAGGCCCAGCCCTGTCAGGGTCGGTCCTTGACAAACTCCAAAGCCAGCAAAGCAGGCTTTCCTCTCAGGAGACACAGAAAAGTCTCAGCTCCCACTCTCCACCGGCAGACTCACAGATCAGCCTCCCAACTGTAGCAGGGGAGACCCATCAAAGGCCCCACCTTTTGCCTGCTCGTGGTCATGTGGCTAAAAGCCAGGGCAAAAGCCCTCTCTGTCATTGTTTTCAAACTAATAGCTAATTTCTTTGAGGAAAATTATAGTTTTTCTCTTTTTGAAAGAAAAAAATTGCCTGTCATACCAGCTACTTGGGAGGCTGATGAAGAGGATTTCAAGTTCAAGACTAGCCTGTGCTACAAAGTGAGTTCAAGGCTAGCCTTGGCAACTTAGTGAGATTCCACCTCCAAGTAAATGTAAAAACAAGGCTAAGAACATAGAGTGCTTGCTAGTGTGCGTGAGGTTCCCAACCCTGGTGAATCCCCAACACTGCAAATAGACAAACAGAAAACAACGCTGTGAGAGTCAAAACACAGGGCTTCACTTTTCTCTTTTAAACTGATTTTTAAAATATTTTATTCTCTAGGAAAGCATGAATGGTCTTAGCTTCAGCAAGAAAAGGAAAATATTAGCAATCCAAAAAAAAAAAAAGTGAAGTTCCTGTTTGCTATTATTAAACAACAAAAACTATCACTGGAGAAAACTGCTCAGGTTGGGAGCCAGCCAGTTGTCACAGGCTCCCAGCAACGGACCCGCCCACAGCAACGGACCCGCCCACAGCAACGGACCCGCTCACAGCAACAGACTCACATCAATGAATCCTCCCATAGCAACAGACCCGCCCACAGCACTGGACCATCACAGCAATGGACTCTCCCCTAGCAACAGACCCACCCATAGCAACAGACCCGCCCACAGCAATGGCTCCATCACAGCAATGGACTCTCCCCTAGCAACAGACCCACCCATAGCAACAGACCCGCCCACAGCAATGGCTCCATCACAGCAATGGACTCTCCCATAGCAATGGACCCACAACAGCGACTGACCCTCCCACAGTAGCAGACCCTTCCACAGCAATGGGCCCACCCATAGCAACTGACCTGCCTAGAGCAATAGTGGAGCCCCCGCTTAGTCCCCCACCTAACCTGCAGCTACATAAAAAGAGCTCCACAGTCAGGCCTGCAATGGTGCACATTTGTAATCATAGCACTCAGAGGCTGAGGCAGGAGGATTACAAATTTGAGGCCAGCCTTGGTTACATAGTAAGACCTTGTCTCAGAAAGAAAGAGAGGGTGAGGGGGCCATAGACCGACAGACAAGCTCCAAATTCCAAGCTAGCAGGGCACGGAGAAACCAGGTCCTTAGTGTATGCTGGTCCCCGTGCCCACGAACTTTCTGCCCCTAGGAAACTGCCTTCCTGGTCCTCACACAGGTCTGCACGTATCTCCTTACAAACTAGGTAAATAATGGTCACTCTAGGAGACAGACAGGAGGCTTGGTGAATCTACCAAGGACACCTGCCTGGGTCACCAGGAAGTTTCTCTTCATTCCAAGAGCCTGCAGCTCTTCCTGGATCTTCTGTAAGCTCTGCCCCCACTCAGCACTGGCTCAGGCCACTGCAAAGCATTCTGACTTGGGATAATCTTTTGCTCTTCACATTTAAAATGGATTCCTCTGCCCTTTAGGGCTGCTAAGATTTCCGACTGAATTTCTGTCTGCTGTTTTTGTTGTTTGTTTTTTGAGAAGAGGTCTCACTCTCTAGCCTGGCCTCCAAGTTGTAGCAATCTCCCTGCTTCAGCCTCCCAGGTGATAAGATGACAGAGACAGGGTTCCACACCTCGCACCTCCATCTGTCTACTGCCTGCCAAGAACCGAAATAATCAAAATCTATTATAAAAGTCATGAACCGGTCAGGTGTGGTGCACACCTTTAATCCCAGCAGAGGCAGGTGGATCTTTATGAGTTCATGGCCAGCATGGACTATACAGCCAGTTCCAGGGCAGCAGGGGCTACATAATAGAGAAACCCTGTCTCAAAAACAAACAAACAAAGCCATGAACCTATTTACTGAATTTTAAGTCTCTTTTAATGAGATTCCAACTCAAGTCCTGGTTTCTATTTCGTCTTGGTTGTTTTGGTTTTTGTCTTTTTCATAACAATTAGTAAGACCTGTTGGAAACGGGAACCATCAGGAAGTACTGGAAAAGCCAGACAGAGAAGGACTAGAGAGGAGCACGGTGCCCAGCCCTCTCCGCTTAGCACACAAACACCATCCAGCCTCGCTGCCTGGCCGCCCATCATGGTCCCTGGCACAGGGACTCCAGGACCGACCTCATCCTGGGTGGCCCAAGCGAGGAAGACACACTAGTGGTGGCTTGTAAGCTCAAAACACACCAGAAGGGTTTTCCAGGTCAAATCTACAGCCTGTTTGCTCAGCCAAGGTCATGGAAAAGCCAGGAAATCTACCAGAAGAACAGTGCCACAGGCAGGACCTGGCAGCTCCTGTGTGGAGGAGAAGCTGAGACACATGGGTGTCCCCTCAGCAGAGACTCAGTCTGTCTCACTCCATCTGGGGGAGTTAGAGGCTCATGCATGGAATCCAGCACCCAAGGCTCAGGCAGGAGGATTGGGCTACAGAGTTCTATACCATCAAGTGCTCCAGGGTAAGACCTTGCCTCAAAACACAAACCACAATGGGCGGTGGTGGCACACGCCTTTACTCCCAGCACTCGGGAGGCAGAGGCAGATGGATCTCTGTGAGTTCAAGGCCAGCCTGGTCTAACAAAGTGAGTTCCAGGACAGGCTCCAAAGCTACACAGAGAAACCTTGTCTCGGAAAACATACACACACACACACACACACACACACACACACACACACACACACACACACACACAAACCACATCACCTAAAAGAAAGGAGAAACATCTGTAGGTAAACAACTTAGCTAGTTACTTCACTAGAAAAACAGATATGGAGATGTGACATCTAGGCATGGCCAAGGCTAGGGCTGTCTAAACATGTGAAATTAGTTGATGGCTGTACCCTAAGCCCTAGTGTGCAGAGTGAAAGACCTCTTAGCAAAGGCATATTATCTTCTTGAATCTCCACAAAGAAAATGCTGATAAACCTCTTATCTTCATGGTGGTCACTGGGAAGTGGCAGCATTTGAGGAAGAAGATAGCTCACGGCTTCGGGCACACTCATCCCTCTGCTGCTCCTCCCAGATGCACAAACACACAGGCCACCTGCAGGGAGTCGAGGGGAACCCCCAAAGGCAGGTCCACCTCCTCAACCTCAGCACCAACCAGTAAGACCATATAAGTAAAGATATTAAACAGACGGTTCTGGATTACAAACCCAACCTGCTTGCATCCTTATTAGAGACAGAGACACCCAGAGAAGCCACACGAAGACAGGCAGAGATACATGGTGAAGCCCAGACAGGGAACTGAAGAGGTGAGGGAGACTATGAAGCCTCTGGAGAGCCCTGCTGAAAGCTTTCTCTCTCTTCCCCTAGAGATATGGTCTACTATCTCCCACACTCACCTTAAAGTCTTGATCCCCCTGCCTCCACCTCCCCAGTGCTAGGATTCCAGGGGTGCACCATCACACCTAGTTCTGGGCCACCTATTTGAATACTATACTGGGTGTCATTTACAAAGTTACATGTGGTCACTCGCAGCCCCCGAGTCTCCTTCGTGCAGTGATTAGAAAGCTCTGTCTGACTCATCACACCATGAAGAACTGTCCCCTTGCCACCACTACACATCAAACACACCAGCAACTCTGTGACCCGAACCATGACACCAGCCACTCCTCTCCTTCGGCTGGGAGTTCTGCACGTCAGTCGCACCCAGCACAGAAGTAAATCCCCATGACCTAGAGACCACTTGTTGGCAGCGGCCTCTAAGGAGGGTAAAGAGGGAGAGGGAAGCAGCTCTTCCCTCTCACATAGCCGAGATGCCCCACCCTGCTGCCTGGGGTCTCCCTACTACACACAGCAGCACTAAACCTGGGGACGGTCTTATTTCCACGCTACTCCTGTAAAATGCCCACCACAGAGAGAAGAGCACACGAGGACTGAGAACATGCCACACAGGCACCACCATCTGGTCTAGAGAGTTCTTGTGTTCACATCCTTCCACCCGTAGGAACAGGCCCCATAGCTGGCTTCAGGGTCTCTATCTGGTGAAGCAAAGGCTCGACCCAGCTCTGGTGTGGCACTGGTGGGTGGGCCCAACTCTGAGGGGACAAAGGTACTTAGTTTATGCTCTCCCACAAGCAAAGCTGTGACCCAAACCTCCAGCCTGGCCAGGTCCCAAGTGCCAGCCACAAGGCTGGGTTTCTAGAAGCACAAAGAACATTCATAATCCTTCATAATTCTTCTCTTCCATCTGAGTGATGTCCATGTTCACATCAGGTCATCAACGGTCTTTGCTGTCTATCTCACGCTGCCATCGGACTCGCTTCCTTAAGAACGGTGAGTATAGAGCATTTAGTGCGTAAGATCACACTCAGACACCAGCCTCTCCTGGCCAGTCTTGCTCTGCCCAGGCCGCTCACTCACCTCGGGTGGTATAGCCACCGATGACGTAAATCTTCCCCTTGCACTCGCATGCAGAAAACTCAGCCAGAGGATTTGGCAGCGGAGCCACAAAATTCCACGCATCCTGCTCAGGATTGTAGCACTCCACGTTAGACACAGCCTGCCCACCGATAGCGTAGAGCTTTGAACTGACAGCCACGAGTTTGAAGTTAGAGCTGAAAAAAAGACACAAGCCCACAAGGTCAGTTCTGGTGAAGATGTGGGGAGAGGAGGCCCTCTAGCAGAAGGTGGAGCCGCTCTGCCTAAGGACTGCAGAGGCCACTTCTCGGATGTGACCCTGGTACCCAAGGCTCGGTGATCTGCTGAGCAGAAATGGGAAATCCACAGGCATAAGCAACCGCAAACAAGCGGCTACTGGGGATAGGGACCGATCTTGCTCGTGGGCCTGAGGCCACCTGCTGCACACTGAACTCAGTTTCCCTCATCTGGAGATGTCTCGCCTGGATCCAGCAGCTGCAGACCCAAGTGTGTGAACAACACATTGCATCTATACTGGACACATATAGACATCTCCCCCTTAGATTATACAGTGGAACAACTACCAAAAGAGACGGTGCAGGAAGTCCAGAGATAAACTCAAGGGCAGGAGGATGTCTGAGTGCTGTGCAGTCCACACCATCTTACATGTGGACCTGGAACCAGTCCCCAGCCACATTCATGGCTTCATGTCACTGTGATCCCCACAGCCCACAGAAACAACTCCCAGGTTTTTGGCTCACAGTTTCTGAGGGTTTCAGAATCCTATCATGGCAGGGAGAGTGTGGAGAACAGTTCACAGTAGCAGGGCCCTGAGGCTGTCACTCCACAGTGGAGCTGGAGGCAGAGAGAGGAGAGAAACCAGGCAGCAGCTAGGTGTGGCCTTCAAGTCCCACCCTTTGTGACCATCTTCCCCTTGAGACCCACGTTCTAAACATTCCACAACTTCACCAAACAGCATCACCAGCCTGAAGGTGGGGGAGGGAGGAAGAAAGCAGGGGCGGGCAACGGAGATCACTACCCACAGATGCTAAGAGATGATGTTCTAGGGGGCAAGCAGGAGAGGACGTACCGGACGGAGGGAGGACTCAGTGGAAAGAGCACTGGCTGCTCCTGCAGAGGACTCAGGCTCAGTTCCCAGCACCCATATGGCAGCTCATAACCTCCAGTAACTCCAACTCTGAGGGATCTAATGCCCTCTTCCAGCCTCCTCAGGCACCGGCACACACATGGCATACATTCACAGACATACATTTAAATATACTTATAAAATAAGTCTTTAAAAGAGAGAGAGTGCACAGACTCACCCCTAGGCTTTCTCCTCACAGAACTGCTAGTTCATTTTTTCTCAGAGAGGAGATTCCACCCAGGTACAACACAGGCATTAATGAGTGGCCAAGGAGACCCATTAGCCATCAGCAGGGACCCACCCACTCACCAGAAGGCAGTTCATATGCTCCATTGCTATATATAAATGGGGAGGGCTAAGCTGAACTAATTAAAATCCTCTGGCCCAGTATTTTAGAGTATTTATAGATGTTAACAAACATATCTGGACAAACGTGTTGTCATCAGCTTCAAACATTGGCTAAGCAAGACCAAGTTTGTACTGAGGGAGTCCCCACCTCTGCAGAGACACACAACAGACATTCACAAGCCAGCAGTGAGTTACAACACAAAGACTGGGCAGCCCGTCCATTTCGGGTCCTCCTCTCTAACGTGGGGGAATCTCACCCCAGTGGCTAAACACACAAGCAGGAGATCATCTCGGCACAACCTCGAGGCTTTCTGCTGTGTGACACGAGGTGCTGGACACCGCCCTTGTGTCTAGCTCCAACAATGACCACTCCAGAAAGGACGACAGTCGAGGAAAGATGGAGGCAGAAGCTACGAGGGCAAAGCAAGAGCGAGGCCGTGTGCAGGGGAGGGGTTAGACAGACGCAGCAAGGGAGAGCATACGCCAGGAAGCGTGTGGAGGAAGAACGGCGCTGTACAGGGGTCTGGATGCACAGGGACTGTTTTCATTTTGTTTTCCTGCAGAGCCTCAGAGCCATTAAACCCAGCCAGCCACGCAGATAGACTTCGCCCTGGTGGCAGCAACTGGGGGGTCCCCGATTCGTGTTGCTTACTTTCCCCACTGCCAATGGTCCTTAACGCCCGACCATGACGCCCTCTCTGTGTGTGCAGATCTGGTGAACCAGAGGAAATAACGTTTGTAAACCAGCACTAAATCCTGACCAGCTCAGGCTGGTTTCACTTCCCACAGGTACACAGATAGTAAAACTGTAATATCCAAACACTGTGTGCGATTCATCCCACATGCTCATCTGTCTTAGGCAAACAGGTAAGAGGTCTTTTTCTGAGAACGATCGGACAGCAGCTAAGTAAACAACTCCATCCCTCCAAACCCTGTACGTGCAAGCTCTCGTCAAGAGAAACGTTTATTAATGTTGGGTTTGCTTGCAGATGGGCCAGCCACCTGAAAACAAACCAGTTGCTAAATTTAGAGGCAAATCACTGAGGGCCCCAACTCCAGGCTTGCACTCGGAAATCTAAACTCCGCTGCAGAACGGCTGTGCGACCTGGGACACTGACTGAAGCTTAGCAGATCTGTGCCCCAGTTACCCCATCTCTGAAGTAGAGCCAAGTACACAGTCTGCTCTGTGTGGGGTGGAGAGGGTGATGTTCCTCATGTCTTAAATCTTGAGCTTTTTTTTTTTTTAAAGATTTTTTTACTTTTAATTACATACATATGAGGAGAGTGTGTATGAGTGCAGACAAATGCAGGTGCCCACGGTGACTGTGAGCCACCCAAAGTGGGTGCTGGAGCTAAGAACTGAGCCAGGTCCTCTGGAACAGCAGTATGTGCTCTTAACCACCAAACCATCTCTCCAGCTCCTCATTGTTGTTAAACTTTATTATGTTTCTTTATTGTGTCTCTCTGTGTGCGTATGTATGTGCATCTTCTTGCATGTGGGGGTGTGCGTGCTACAGTGCACATATGGAGGTCAGAAGGAAACTTGCAGGAGTCTGTTCTCTCCTTCAACCACAAGCATCCCAGGGGTGGACTCGGGTTGGTGGGCTCAGGAGCAGCCTCTAACCACTGCGCCCCCTCTCCAGCCCTGAGCCCCAGTTTCTTAGCTGCAGGAGGGCTGGTTTCCTATTACAGTACAGATGGCCTCCAGAATTCTGCAGTTTGTGTTCCCGTCTACAAATCCCTGACACCTCATTTCCAACTTCTGAAAGCAGCTCACACTCATCACCTCAGGAGCGTGACTGTGCATCTGAGCCATCGATTACTTCACAATTATCTTTTCTTCCTTCGTATTGATCCCTGACGCACTATGTTCAGGAAGAAAGATGATTGTAATACCAAATAAGCTTTATTGTGTAGCTGTATATGATTCACTTGCAATAAATAAAAGCAAGTGAGGAAAATTAGGCATGGCCTCAATTTAATTTCCATTTCACTGAGAAGAAATAAAAAGCCCTCTAGGGCTGCAGCTATAGCCTGATGATGATAGAGCATGGCTTAGCATGCCTGAGGCCCTGGGTTCAATTCCCAAAGCAGAGGCTAGGGGCGGAGGGTGGTGAGGGGAGGGCTGTGATTCCAAAAGGGCTGAGACAGGATGATCTTAAGAGTTCAAAGCCAACCTGGGCTACATAGTGAGAGGCCAAGCTGAGCTATACAGCAAGACCCTGACTCACACACACACTTAAAACCAAATGAGGAGAACTCTGCAAAACACCTGGCCACCTACTACAGCCACAAAAACCACAAGGAGGAGGGTGATAACCCGAGAGTGGAGTCTCGCCCTGTGATTGTGTGGAAACAAACTAAATTCAACGGGGAAACGGGGTCAATAATAAAACCAACCTCACAGAGCTGCTGGGGCCGATGACAAAGTGACCCAGAAACACTTGACCCAGAGAGACAGTTCCCAAAACAAAAACATCATTATGGCTTGCTATAGACAATCCTGTCACTGTGAAATGCTACACTCCTCCCTGGCCTGGACAGTGTGAGGGGCCCATCCAGTCCCTCATCACTCCTTCCCCTTCCTCGGCTGTAGTGACCTCTGCTGGGGACCAGGATGGAGATGGAAGAAGTTGGGAAACAGAAGCTTATTGTGGCTCCAACCACCTGTGGGAAACTCAGAAAGCAAAAATCAAAAAGCAATTTCAACTGTTGGCCAGAACTCAGCTGCGGAGGCTAACAGGCCTGCATTTTCTCTCCTTCTCTGGTGCCCAGCTGTGTGGGCTCCACACCCAAGGACAAAACCTCTCAAGGGCTCCCCAGTCAGACTCCTCTGTTGGTGAGGACAGCTGTTGGTGAGGCCTTGCTGCATTCACACACACACAGGACCCACCCGGCTCTACCTTCCGAGAAGCCAGGGCTGAGGAAGACTCTAGAAACAATCTTAGAAATTTAGACATTTCCAAAGGACGGCTGCAGTCGGTGGCCAGTCCCTGCAAGCTGTCCCTAATTAAGGTGGGAGGGAAGGAAGGCGATTTTGTGGTCATACAAGCTTCCACATGTCAAGAGTCAAATCTGTGTTCAGACAATGAACCGGTGTTGTACAACTGAATGAGGCTTCCAAAAAAAAAATGCTGGGGTTTGTACAGTCATTTTCTCTTTAAAAGTTACATTTGTGTGTGTGTGAACATGTGCACAGGCCACAGCACACGTGGGGAGGTCAAGGGACAGCTTGCAGAAATCAGTCCTCTCCTTCTACCGTGTGGGTCTGCTCATCAGGCTTGCCAGCTTAACCAACCGAGATCCATCTCACTGGCCGACAGGGTCATCTTCAAGCCTATGACTTCACACAATACCTTGAAAAGAAATCTCAGAGATTCACATGTAAACACAAAAGGGCAAAATTATATGACAGAGCGTGGTACTGATGGATGAGCATGCCCACGTTCTCATCTGGAGAAAACGTCCATGTACAGGATATAAAAATGTCACACACAGCAAATCTAGCTGAGAAGGTGAAACTGCTTCTTACAAGGAGCCACTCACCCCCAGAGTCGAGGCTGGGGCTTGCACGGCCAGCACTGGGCTGCTTCCGTTTGATACGCCAGGTTTCTACTGTTGGTGATTTCCTTATTTCCAAGACAGAATAAATTGCCAACATTTAAAAACTGGGTTACCTCATGTCTGGCCACCCTGACTCTTCACTTCCACTAGGGAATACCCAGTGTGGTCCTGGGTGAGGAGGCCCACGGGTGGCACACTGACACTGGGTCCCCACTCTTCTTCTCCCTGACACCACTCACTCTGCCACTTTAGACTCCAGTTTTGAATCACACTAAAACAACAACCCAATGTGCTGGTGTATGCCTCTAATCCCAACACTCATGAGGTGGAGGCAGGAGGCTAAGAAATGCAAGGTCATCCTCAGATATACAAAGAGTTCAAGGATCGCTGGGATACATGAGACCCTGTCCCCCAAAAATTAATAAAATAATGAAGAAAGCCAAACCCAAAATTATATCAATAGATATACATCTGTGAACACACACACACACAAAAATTGTTGTGGGATGTTTTGATCACACTCTGACACTCCTGAGACTGACAATAAAGTTTACCTTGAATCGGAGGGCAGAGCTAACTACTAGCTGAACAGAATCAGCCACAGAGGTTTTGGAGGACCCAGGACACATGGAGAGACAGGAAGAAGTAGGGAGGGGTTAGAAAGACTCACAGCCAGTTTGGATCAAGGAAGGGGAGAGAGAGGTCACAAGTTGCTTCTCTGATCAATCAGGTTTTAACCCCATATCTGACTCCCGAGTTTTTATTAATAGAATAATTTAGATAATTGTTACAAAAATTCATATACAACCATTGATTAGAAGAAGCATTAAGTAACCTAATAATTTTAGAGTAAAAATACACGGATACATATCCCACTCACTCTGGAATATACACACACAGTTCCCGAATGATAATGGCTGGCCATGCCTATATTTATATAAGCATCTGTGCATTTATAATACCTAACTATAACATGCATGTATAGATACTGCTGTGGTTTGGGTACCTTCATGTGTTGAAGGGTTGGTTCCCTTGCATTGTTCACCAGTAGATTTAGCGAGGGCCGAGTCAGGAGGGCTCTGACCTCATCAGTGCATTAGCCCATGAGTAAAATCACGTGACGCTGTGACTGGACTGTGGTGGAAACTAGCAGATAGGGCCTCCTTGGAGGAAGCAGGTCCCTGAGATTGTGTCTCTGAGGGGTATGTTCTTGGCCATCATTCTTGAGCCCAAATAATACCCCCTCCCCACACACCTGCTTTCCCCTGTTGTCTCAGCCGGCCACCACAATGAAATAATCAAGACACAGGCAGTGACTGTTAATATTGTCAGCTTGCTGGGATCTAGAGCAACAGAGACAAGCTCTGGGCAGTCTGTGAAGAACGTTCTAGACTAGATTAACCGAGAAGGGAAGACCCACCCTGAAAGTGGGTGGCACTCTTCCACCAGCTAGGAGACAGCCAGCTGCACGCTGACATCCATCACTTGCTGCCTCCTGACTGCTTCCTCAGGCCTCCTATACCTTCTCCAACCATGCGCCAAAACAAACCCTCCCTTCCTGAAGCCGCTTCAGGTGCCTGGCACAGTGTTTAGGGCAGACGCATTCACTTTACAGGTTCCCTCAAAGCACACAGAAAGAACACTTTGAGGCAAACAGACTGAGGATCTCGGGCAGAGAATGGTGAGAGGTCAGGACTGTGGAGCCAAGGTCACCACAGTCCCAGTGGATGTGCTGGAGACACACAGGGAAGAAGGAGACAGAATCTTCCACCCTCTCAGAGCACTTTAAAGCTCTTAAAATTTATTTTAAAATAACACTTTTGATACTAAACTTTATTATTTTGTTTTTGTTTGTTTTCAGAAAGAGTCTCTATAGCTCAGGCTAGACTACAGATCTTCCTGCCTCAGTCTCCTAAGTCCTGTAATTACAGGCTGGTGCTACTTGATGTAAATATCCTATCACAGGTGGTTGGACGAAGATCCACCAACCCCTCCCTAGTTAGTGCCTCTGGAAGGGAGAGGGAGTGACGCACTCATCTCTACTTCTTACACTCCAGCTTGCCAGAATTTTTAGGATTTATTTTTAATTTGTGTGCTTGTGTGTGTATATACACATGCATGTGGGTGCCGATCAGCTCCAGATGCCCTGGAGCTGCAGCTACAGCACCCAGCGTGGGTGCTGGGAACTGAACACCAGTCTTATGCAAGAGCAGCAAGTGCTCTTAACCTCTGAGCCATCAGAACAAGGTATGTTTCTGCAAATAACCTCTGACCTAAGGGTCCCTTGTCCTGTGATGGACCGAGCAGTTCCAGTTCAGATTCCTTCCTTCTAGCCTGATTCATTTCAGGTAGAGACCATAGTGGGACTTGGACGGCAGCAGACGGCCTGGTAGAGAGTGCCTGTCCTCTCCTGGTTACTCTTTCCACTTCTGGGACGCTGGTGATTGAATGGAGGCCTCATGAGGACTAGGCAGGCCCTCTCACACTGAGGTCCGTCTCCCCTCTCTTCTTGTTTTGCTGCATTATCCAGGCCGGCCTGGAACTCACCTGTGACCTAGAAAGGCCTTGGAACCTGCCTGCTTCAGCCTTCGAACGGCTGGGGCCACAGGCCTGCAACAGGAGACCCAACTTCTGAGGCATCTCGGGCCTGCTGTCTTCACGCCCTTTCTCTTTTCATTTGCTTCTCCTGACTCCTCCTCACACCCCGCCCCCCAGCTCCACCTTTTCTTCCCCAGGCACCTCAGGTCAAGGGAAGAGGGCTCTGCAGAAGGGAGAGATGAGTGTGCGGAAAGGAATGCATCTGGCCCTTTGAATCCACGGGTTCATAGATTCAACCAATAAGAGGGGAACGTGTGTATACTGAACATGTACAGGCTGGTTTTCTGTCATTCCCTAAATGACAGTCTGACAACCACTGGTATACATTATATCTGAAGTTATAAGTAACACAGAGATTACTGTAGAAAGCCAGATGTGGTAGTGCATACCTTTAATCCCAGTACTCTGAAGGCAGGAGGATCACGGGAGCCTAGGCAGCCCAGGAGTTCAAAACCAGCCTGAGGAGCACACCAAGATAAAGGAAAACCACCGAATGTAGCCTGGAGGGTGTGGGTAGGCTTTGTGCCAATGGTACAGCCGCTAGGGACTCAGGCATCCCTGGTAGGAGACAAGGGCATGGCCATTCTGTAGCTGACCACTCCGGGCTCAAGTTGTGGGTCAAAGATGATTGCTGTCTAGGGGGGAAATAAACGAAAGGAAGGAGAATGAAAGGGAAAGAGAAGAGGAACCCCATATGGCACATATTACTATCACCCTAGGGATAGCGGACTCGTACCCCAGTGCAGAAGGACGCAACAAACATTCCCGAAGCCAGTGTCAGTTACTGCCCAAGCCGCATTACAATTCAGAGCTGACCAGGAAAGAAGAGAGAAGGGAAAAACAGCAGTTATCTTTTGCAATATCCTCTGCAAGCACACATTGGAGACAGAGAAGCCAGTTACCCATGGCCGGCACCTGTAAGGAGGCCACTGGGCTAGCCGACTTCTTCCTGGCAAGCCCTGGGCTCACTGGGAACTCCGCCAGCGGCGGCGAGGCCAGCAGCACTCAGCGAGATGCCACCGCCTCTGGCCAGCGAACACCAGGGCAATGAATGAAGGGCTCAGGTCCGGCTGGCACTTACCGCTTCTGGTTCATGGAGGCCACCTGCAGCCACTCGTTGGTGGTGGGGTTGTAGGAGTGCGCGGCCGAGATCTCCTGGCTAGTGATCCTGTACCCGCCCACGATGAAGAGGTAGTTGTCCAAGATGGCTGAGCCGTAGCCCCTGACGTTCACCAGGTCGGGGGGCAGGTTGTTGGCCAGCGGGAACCAGCGTTCCGTGGTCTCCTCGTACCTAAGCATGGACGGGGGTTCCCCCTGATACGGGTGCGGGGCCAGGGGTCCCCCGAGGAAGTCCCCCAGGGCCACCAGGACCGGGGTCCCGCGCATGCGGGCCTCCCTCAGCCTCTGCTTCAGGCTACAGTCCCCGGGGGCCTGCGGCGGCGACAGCAGCAGCGGGAACTGCGGCTGGCACAGCACCTGGTGGAAGCGCAGGGCCATGAAGCGCAGGCAGGCGTCCTGCAGGTCGGGCAGCCCGTACACCTGAGCCAGGCGGTACAGCTCCAAGCAGTTGCCCAGACGCACATGCGACAGCAGCAGGCGCAGCAGCGCCGTGACCTGCAGGAAGGACGCGGCCTCCACCAGCTCGGCCAGCACGCTGGCCTCGGCCAGCTCGTCCTCGCCCAGGCCCCAGCCCTCGTGCGCGCCGCCCGCGTTGATGAAGTCCAGCACCAGCCGCAGGCCCGGCGCGCTCAGGCCGCGCAGCTGCTGCACCTCGGGGCCGGCCTCGGGCCGCACGGCCTCGCGCATGCCGGAGCGGTAGAGCGCGCGGAAGTAGTCGCTTTGTTCGATCAGCTTGCTCTTGCTCACCGGGTAGCATCGGCCTTCCAGGCGGATCTGCACCACCTCCTCGGCGGACATGGCTGGGCCGCTGCGCCCGCAGCCGGGCCGCGCAGGCTCCTCCCCCCGGCTCACACCCTCCGCCGAGCCTGGCCTGCGCCCGCGCTTCCTTCCGCCGCCGCGCCCCGGGCTCGGCCCCTCCGGCACGTCATGCGCCCTCCGAGTAAATGGCCTCTCTGTGTCTCTTACCGATGTGTCTGTGCGGGTTCGTGCGCGTGAGCGCAGGTGCCCGGAGGCCAAAGGCGGCAGATGACCCTGCAGCCCGAGGTATGGGCAGTTGTGAGCCGCCCTACGCGGGAACCGAACCCCTGCCCTCCGCAGCAGCAGTGGGTTCCTCCAGCAGGGTCTTTAAACTTTTTTGTTAATTGGTTAGGGAACAAACAAACACGCTGGTTCGCGGTGCCCTCTCCCTATGCACAAGTCACTGTACTCATTTCCTGCCACAGGTTAGCTGTCCCCGTGTGAGTTTTCTGGGACCAGTCAGTACTGTTAGGTTTTGGACTGTGACCCGCCTGGTAGTTCAAGAGTTTCGCTGAAGGCTTACTGGAGCTAACTAAGGAGTTTTAGAAGAGTTATTAAGTCCATGGAGCGGACAGACAGACGGACAGACAGACAGGAAAGCAATGGCACAGTCAGGGCTCCAAGGAGAGTTCAGATCCCAGCACCAGGGACGGCAGAGCAGGGTCTCTGGAGAGAGCACCAGAAGGGGCAGGTGGATGTAGAGGACACTGAGATGCATTAGGATTGTCACCTCTGGGCAGAAGTCTGACCCCTGGTAGCACTTGCTCACCCTCACACCACCTACCCACCCACCCTCATCACCCCATCCGTAGCTGTTAGGAGAGGACACTTTTCCCATCTTCCCTGGGGAGGACGCTCGGTTAGAAGGCTGACTCCTACGGGCTGGCTGTGGTGAAGGGGTGGTGTTTGCAGGCATGGTGCCCTGGGTTGCATTCCTCAGCATCACTGTGTCATTCGGCTGCTTCACAGAGAGGGGGCTTCCAACCATTGTATTCTGCAGAATACAAGCAAGGATAAGGAGCTAGAAAGTACAGAAAACATTCTAGCAGAGTCCAGCCTTGCTAGGAGAAAGGGGCACAAACACATGGACCTGGGACTTGTTTTACTTTGTTGCTTTCTTGGATTCTCTGAGAAACTTGGGATACTGCACTGTGAGGGACAGGCCTTGAAGCATTGCTGGATGGCTTCCACTTCTCTGTCACTCTCAGTGTTTGGGGTAGGAGGAGGGTGCAGGTGAGGGGCCAAGGATTCGATTCAGCCATCACTATGGGAAGGCAAAGTGCCACATCTACCATTAGACATTAGGCTGGGGGCTGCTGGGAAGCATGACTTCAAAGAGGCAGGACCTGGATCTGTCTGTGCCTCCATTAGCAACGAGGCAGGATTCAGTGGGTCACCAGAAGGGCAGGCTCTTAGTCTCTTGCTCTTTAGAGCCTTTACCAATGGGAGCTTTTGTTTCCAGATCATAGATACGCCTTCAACTGGTATTCTCTTGCCTTTTAAAAACAAACCCAAAAGCAACCTTTGAGAATGATTCTCTTTAGAGAGGCAATTCAACCACGGTCACTTTACCACAGTGAGATCAGCTGGGACTGGAATCTGAAGTGTTCCCTGGCAATACTGGGCACTGATCCAGCAAGGTTTTTGGCCCTGGACAACACAATGGCATTGTTGGAAACTGGGGGCATCTTTAAAAATCCAATAATTTTAGTAAACCACACAGTGAGTATTCTAGAAAGCTGGGCATAAAGACAAACACATATAAACTACTTCGTTACAAACAAGCTAAACGATGATTTCAAGGCTTTGTGAATATATTGCTTAATGTTATCATATTGACCAGATGGTGCTGTCGTTGATCATTAAACAGCAACAACTCCTGCTCAAAGGCCTACACACAGTGTGGCAGTCACAGCCCTAGGAGAGCTTTGCTAAACAGATATGTCGCCAAATTACCTTCTAAGTACTTGTGCTCACATCCACAGATCAGTGTTGCTCCCAGCATTGGCCAGAGAAGTCTTTCTGCGGTGGGCGGCAGGCCGGAGACTGACAGCTAGTCAAAGTGCTGAGGATGAGTGACCGAAGGTTCAGCCCTAAACTGGACATCTATGGCACCCTCCCACAGTGCTGGGGAACAACATGGAAGAACTGAAGAGCGGGAGTGTGGGGAGGGGTGCTATGAAATGCTGTCTTCTGAATGTGATGTGGGCACTGCACTCAGGAGCTCACACTTCGAAGCTGCGGTTCCCCGCCACGGTCAAGCCAACAAAAGCAGTCAACATTCGAGCAGGCAGCACTTGGTGAGTTACAGAAAAGGGGGGGACCCTGAAGCTGGAAGGGGGATGTGTGTTGGGAGGTGTTTGGGCAGGAATTAATTGGGGGAAAGTATGTTCAAGATGCATTGTATACATGTATGAAATTGTCATACATACAATAAATTCTAAAAATATTTTATGCAAACACATAAACAAACACATCCATATCATTAGCATACAAGTTTACTTTTGTTTTAATAAATGGTAAAATTATATGCATATCAAAAAATTATTTAAAATAAAATTCTTTATGGCTTACTATCAGTAATGTTTGAATTGTATATCTATTTTATGTACTATATACTTGGGGTTAAGAAAAACATTTCTCCAGCAAAAAAAAAAAAAAAAAACCACACCTTTAATTCCAGAATTTAGGAGGCAGAGGCAGTCAGATCTGAGTTTAAGTCCAGCCTGGGCTACATAACAAGTTCCAGGCTAGCCAGGTTTGCACGGTGAGATCTTGTCTCAAAATCATGGGGGTTGAAAGTGGAAAAGTTCGAGAAGTCTCTCAGGGCCAGCATTCCCAAAATTCTTAGGATGTCAGCTGGGACATTTGGAAACTAAAAATTCTTATCCCCACAGCAGCTCTACTGGATTAGGCTGTTGGGATGGGAGTGGGGGCGGTGAGGCCTGTCTAGATCCACATCTCACTTTTTTTTTTTTTTTTTTTTTTTTTTTGGTTTTTCGAGACAGGGTTTCTCTGTGTAGCTTTGCGCCTCTCCTGGAACTCACTTGGTAGCCCAGGCTGGCCTCGAACTCACAGAGATCCGCCTGGCTCTGCCTCCCGAGTGCTGGGATTAAAGGCGTGCGCCACCACCGCCCGGCTCACATCTCACTTTTGAACTCTCTCAGAACATCCTAGGGCTGCCACGCGGCTCAGCGGTAGAATATTACCCAGCACGCCCTGAGGCTGCACACCAGCGCTGAATAAGGAAAGCATCCTATCACAAATCACTATAAAGTCTGGCTGATGAGGTGGTTCAGTGGGTCAAAGTGCTTGCTGAGGAAGTCTGACGGCCTGAGTTTGATCCTCAGGACCACGTGGTAGGGGGAGAGCTCTGGAGAGTTATCTCTGGCCTGGGCACTACGGTGTGTGAGAATGTGCGTGTGTGCATGCCTGTGTACATGTGAGCATGGTGTGTGCGTGTGTTCGTGCGCGTGTGATGTGCAGTGGGGAGGCAGGCACGTGTGTGCAGGTTGGAAAACAACTCTGTGGAGTCCGCTCTATTCTACCTTGACAGGGGTTACTGGAAATGGAGCTCAGGTTGCCAGGCCTGAGAAGCCACAGATGCCCTGAATGGCTGTTGTATTTCACCTACATTATGAGCATTTGGGGTGCAGGGGTGAGGTAGGAAGGCTGACTCCTTCGTCTCTTTTAGGAAGAAAGCTCATGACTGGTTTGCATGAAAACTACTGGCCCTAAGAAGTAACCAGAATAAGAATAAAAATAAGTATACAGTCGGACTCCAGCTATCGAAACATTAAACATTTTAAATAGATTCCTTTTTCTATTTTTTTCTTTCAAGTTTTTAAAAGTCAAATAAGTACATGAACTGGTTTTCTCAGGAGCCTGAACAACAGAAGTGTAAAAAATGAAGTCACCAGCCCTTCGGCCTATACTGAACACCTCACAAAACAAGGAGTTGTTTCTGGAAACAGAGCCTCCCTTAATCTGATGTCAAGAGACTAGGTAATTGTTTTTCTCAGCAGGACTCTGGGCTAGGGTTTCTCCTGGCCTTCCTATCTGCCTAGGAAAAGGTGTCTGTGACTCTTCACTCCCAGAGAAAGAAGAAAAGCCGAGGGGAGCATCTTAAGAGGGGAAGGGTCAGAACACCGAAACCTGCTGGAGAGGGTTCAGAGACAAGGCCGCAGGGCCAGCGCTCTCCCGGGGCTCAGCGGCACAGGAACAAAGGTGCAGAGAGGCCTCTGCGGAAGGACGCCCTGGCGCGGCCCATGGTCAGCTCCAGCGGCCTCCCTTCGGCACCCAGAGATGCAGGCGGCGGCGGGGCTGCTGCTGCTGGGGCTGGCTTGCACCGTGCACGGCCTCTGCTCGCCCTCAGTGTTCTACAGAGACTGTTGGATCCGCCGCTTCCCAGGGCTGCTGCTGGACCTAGAGGAATCTCAGAGGCTGGGGGCCCAGTTCCTCAAGTATTACTCGGAGAGCACCGGCCAGAAGTGCAGCCGGAGCTGCTGTCTCCGGAAGGATGGTGAGCTCAGGGCTGGCTGAGCCCATCGGGGTGGTATCAGCGCATGAGGGGGAGGACCAGCGAGGACCCCGGGATCAGAGCACAGGCCCAGGCAGAGGGGGAGGACCAGCGAGGACCCCGGGATCAGAGCACAGGCCCAGGCAGAGGGGGAGGACCAGCGAGGACCCCGGGATCAGAGCACAAGCCCAGGCAGAGGGGGAGGACCAGCGAGGACCCCAGGATCAGAACACAGGCCCAGGCAGAGGGGGAGGACCAGCGAGGACCCCGGGATCAGAGCACAGGCCCAGGCAGAGGGGGAGGACCAGCGAGGACCCTGGGATCAGAGCACAGGCCCAGGCAGAGGGGGAGGAGCAGCAAAGACCTGGGAGGACCACCGGATGGGGAAGCAATCAGAGCAGGTGGTTTTGAACGAGATCTTCGTGACTCTAGAATCCAGGGCATCCTGCTGTCTTTGTCAAAATGCTAAATGGATATAGATTCCTTCCAGGGTTAACTAACTTGATTTTTTTTCTTTTTTCAAAGCCCGATGTTTCCAATAAGCTGGGTGCTGTGGCCTAAATCTATAATCCCAGCACTTAGGAGCTGGAAGCAGGGAGATCAAGAGATCAGGGCCAGGCTTAGCAACACTGTGAGCTGAGACCAGCCTGGGCTGAGATCTTCTCAAACAAACACAAACAAACAAAAGGATTTACAACAATTTACCTTTAAACTATTATCATTTGCTAGTTTCCTTTAAAACACTTTTTGTTAATTCTTTGAGAATTTCATTATTTTGGTCGTATTCATCCCCACTCCCTCCTCTAGCTTTTCCCAGATCCCCCACCACCACTCAACTTCAAATTCTCTTTTATTTAAAATAATCCACGGAGTCTAATTTATGCTGTGACCATGGGCCAATCCCTCAAAGGACACAGACTCTCCCTCCATGAAGCCATCAACTGTCAATAGCTCCTCAGTTAGGGGTGGGGGCTCATAAACTCCTTCCAACTCCATGGTGGAATGCTGACTGGCTTGATCTTGTTTTGGTCTTGTACAGCTCTGAGTTCACAAGGTGTTTCTGTTGATTTGCTTGAGACATGCTTTCATCCAGCCCACTTTGAACTCACTTTTCAGTGGAGGCTGGCCTTGAACTCTTGGTCCTTCATCTCCAAATCCCAAGTGCTGAAATTCTAGGCATGCACCACCACACCTAGTTTAATAATTTTTTCTTAAAATAACTTTGGTGGTTTTAGTGTCATACATATTTTAGAAGATGTGTCTCTTGGATCCATAAGAAATGTGGAGCGTACTGGATAGGAGGTTAGAGTATGGATCATGCTATCTTCAAATTTCCCTAATAGACAGCTTTCCTCTATAATAAATGGGATTTAGAGGTAAATATCTCCCATATACCCACATCAAAGCCTTCAAGGTCACAATTGCCTGAAGACACTTTCATTTTCCGTTTTCCCTAATTTTAAAGCTACCTGGACAGAAGAGCAAAATAGTGTCTTGTTGGAACAATCCCCACCTTCTTTTTAACCAAAATTTGATACAGACTATCATTGAAGATATTGCTTATCCAATTATATATGCACATTTCTGAAATAAAATTTGGAGTGTTCTGGAGAGAGCAGCAGATTTCCAGGGATCATGGTTCGAGAGACTTGTCAGAGGCCACGACCTTCAAAGCTAATGAGATATGAAGAGCAACGAATTTGATAAAGGACCTTTTCACAGCATGGTCAAGGGCTGGGGTTGCGATTCAGTTTGTAGGGTGCTTGCCTGCCATGCTGGAGGCCTTGGGTTCCCTCTCCAGCACCTACACCCAGAGTGGTGTCCCACATCTGTAATCTCAACACTCAGGGAGAAACCAGGGAGATGAGAAGTTCAAGGATGTCCTCAAATAGGAGCAAGTTTGAGGCCAGCCTGGGATACATGAGATCTGGTGAAATAAAAACAACACAGGAGATGGCCTAGTGGTTAAAGTGCTTGCCAGACAAGTGTGAGGTCCCGAGTTTGAATCCCCAGAACCCACTTAAAGCTGGGCACAGGAATGTGAGCATCTATAATCCCCAGTGGCCCTAAAGGGAAGTGGGAGATGGGATGCAAAGACCGGGAGTCCTGGATAGCTCACGGGCCAGCTAGTCTAAGGTATGCAGTGTCGAAACACACACTGTGCTTCAAACAAGGTGGAAGAGGACTGACACCCAAGGTTGTCCTTTGACCCATGCACACTCACACCCACGCACACTCCCTCACATATATATCACACACACAAGATTACATAGAAAAAAACAGTCCGGGGCTGTCTGTCATCCATATACACCTCAGCAGCCTGTGAGTCAGGGCAGGAAGGCAGGGCCCAGGCTTGCCACTTTCCTGTCCACAGCTGGAGAACTGACGCATGAAATTCAAGGTCTCCTTCCTGATCTCCCTCTCTTCCCTCCTCTCCCTTCCTTGAAGTAGCCCAGGCTACCCTAACTCAGTCCTGGTTCTTCCACCTTGGCCTGAGGGAAGCTGAGGCTGTCGGTGGGTACACACTCCTGGTTCCATAGAGGCCGTGTTAAAGGACTGGAGAGAGGTCTCAGGGGTTAAGAGGTCCTGTGACTCTTGCAGAGGACCTGGGTTCAGTTCCCAGCATCCACAATTGGTGACTCACAACCATCTGTGACTCCAGCTCCAGGGATCAGATGTCTGTGTTCTCCACAGGTACTCACAGTGATGTCGCTACCTCCCCTCTCACAGATACAAATACACATCATCGGGTTGGGGATTTAGCTCAGTGGTAGAACGCTTGCCTAGCAAGTGCAAGGCCCTGGGTTCCATCCTCAGCTCAAAAAAAAAAAAAAAAAAAAGTCCACAAATACACATCATCAAAAAGAGTCAAAACAAATCCTTCATAAAAAGAATTATCTCCAATAAAATCACTCTCTATAAGTCAGGTGTGGTGGCTGATGCCTGTAATCCCAGCACTTGGGAGGTTGAGGTAGGGGGATTGCCTGGAATTGTGGTCACCTTGGGATACATAATAAGTCTGAGTTCAAGGCCAGCTTAGGCTAGACAGTAAGATCTTACCTCAAACAAAACAATATTGTTCTCTACCACATCAATGACTTTCTTATCACAAATCTAAATATTAAGTAAGAATGTTTTCAGTTCCTCTCTCTTATAACTTCCCAGAACCATCCTTGGGGACTGTTTTTGCAACCCAGATTAGTGAAACATTATTAATTAATTTTGTCTTATTATTTCTCCTCTGGAAAAGGTAAGGAATGCAGGAACCCAAGGGTGTCCCAGAAATGAGAGTGGAGCTGTGGCTCCCCATGGCTGACCCTCTTGAGAGGCAGATCAGGGCTTCACAGCCCAGTGCCCTCCCCAACCTCAGCCCTGAGCCCTGGTATACTGTGTCTCTGTAATCCTGCATTATTAGAATGTGTGATACCTGTGAGCCAGCTGACGCATCTCATGGTTCTGTGTCTGCTCTGCAATGGGAATGAAGTCCCACTGCATGTTAGGGAGGGTGCACTCAAAGTTTGCACCCAGTAACTGACTCTGGGTTTCCAGAAACAACACAGTACATTTTAAGGAGCTGCTTTAGAAAAGGGAGGCCAACATGAGTGTGTGATATGCAGATACACCCTGCTAATAATCCCAGACGTCAGCATCCTTCTAAGACACTGATTTGGCTCCTGGGGTAAGGTTTGTTCCCAGGGCCACACCCTCAGGTGTCACATGATCCCCTGGCTCTCCAGTGAGCCAGCCTGTCCACCACTATCCTTCCCTTGTCAGTGGTCACAGTTTTCCTTCTATGTCCCTCTTCCTCTGTGGCCCCAGGACCTCAGCATTCAGACAGCATATTGTGCCTGGAAACCAGACGGGTACTTTCAAAAGCTTTGTGTAGACAACTGATGTTTTGCATACACAAAAAATACGAAGACTAAAATATAATAATTCTGTGAGGTATGGTGGTGCGTGTCTTTAATCCCAGCACGTAGAGGCAGATAGAGGCAGGCAGATCTCTGAGTTTTCTGAGGCCAGCTTGGTCTACATAGTGAGTTCAAGGCCAGCCAGTGCTACACAGTAAGTCCCTGTCTATAAATAATCAGCCCATCAATTTAAGACTAATTACATGGCTCACATTTACAGTCCCAGCACTCAAGTGAGAGGCTGCAAGGCCTGAGTTCAGACTGTCTACATAACAAGTTCCGGAGAGGCCAGCTAGAGCTACTTAGCAAGATCCTGTCTCAAAAGACCCAAAACAATGCTGGGTGGTGTGATCCCAGCACTCAGGAGGTAGAGGCAGGCAGATCTCTGTGAGAAACCCTGTCTCAAAAAGACAAACAAACAAATAAACAAAAATTCCAGATATCCTCTGTGGAAAGGAATATATCAGAGAGTACTTTAAATATTTAAGTAATATTTTATTACTTATATAATAAAATAAGTAATATTTTCTTTCAAATAGGTGTATTATATAGTTTCAATTTTGCTTGTTTTTCAAGAAAAGGCTTCTCTGTGTAATAGTCCTGCCTGTCCTGGAACTCACTCTGTAGACCAGGCTGGCCTCGAAATCAGAGATCCACCTGCCTCTGCCTTCCAAGTGCTGGGATTTTAAAGGTGGCCCAGTTTCAGTAGTTTTTAAGCACAGCACGAGATTGGGTTAATTCAGTGTTCCAGAAAGAAATGGAAGTTACTCAGAGCCCATGTGACTGGCAGCAAAGCCAGGCGTGGTGGTTATGTCCCTGGACCCCAGCATTAGGAGGCTAAGGCAGGATGATGACAGGTTGGAGGCCCACCCAGACTATATAGCAAGACTCTGACTCCCTCACACACACACCAACTGAGGGAAGCCAGCAACCTATGCAAATGCCCTTGGCCTTTACAGTTTCCTGTAATGTGGCTGTCTTCTTCCATGATCCCATCCACGACAACGTCAACTGCCTCCATGTCCACTGCCCAACTTTGGAGAGCTGCATCCTGGAGCCTGGGACCAGTGCCATTCTGTACAACATAACAGCAGGTAAGGACTGCCTCATAAAACCTTGGAAGAGAGTGCTAGTACCCTAGAAGCACTTGTAGCCTTGAAACTGGCAACACCAGGCTTAAGAACCCAGGCTGTCCTTTTCCAGCAACCCATCTCTCTCATTTCCACATGTGCTCCTGCACACATCCGTGTGTTCACACACACACTTCTATAGACTCACACGTATGCATGCACACATGCACATGGTACTGCCTCAGCACAAAGACCAGAAGAGGAAACAGTAGAAAGTGAGACCAGGCAGAGGCAGGCAAAGAACTCCGAACCATCATCAGGACAGTGGGAAATCTGACCTGGCCAGAGGGATGGGGACATTAGGAGCCACAGTGGAAATATGGCTCCAGGAGGGCAGAGTGGTGTCTTCAGGTTAACTTTATCAGAAACAGAGGGAGCCTGGTATGGTGGTCTCACTTGTGGTCCCAGCACTCTGGCTAAAGACCAAGAGAGAAGCATCACTGGTTCAAGGCCAGCCTGGGCTACATAGCGAGGTCCTGTCTCAACAAAAAAATAAGGAATCAACAAAAGCATGGAATGAGAAAACACTGAGATTAAAGAGCTATGCATAATTACCTTGGTCTGGGTGGGTAATATTCAGGACACAGGTTAGACACCTAGTCAGGGAAGCATTGGAACTGACAAGGTAGAGGCGATTGTCACAAAGGAAGCATCTGAACACTGGAAAGAAAGATCTAGTAGGAGTGTGTGTGGTGCTGGGGATGGAACCCGGGGCTCCCCACTGAGCCACATCCCCACCCTTAGTTACCCTTCAAATGAAGAAAATGGTGAGAAGAGCCAACCCCTGCTGAGCTAGTGCCAGATGAGCGGTGGGGGTGGGGGAGGCAAGAAGCTGAGGTCAGGGTTTGGCTTTGGGCATCCTGGGAGATGATGCCAGGTGTGCTCAGGTGAAGTGTCCAATAGAACGCTGGGAAAACAACAGTTCGTGAAAGAGGAAGACAGGGAAACATGTCTGCAGTGCCATCAGCACGGTGGGGAGCTGTGGAATTTCTGTGTGGGGGCAGTGAAGGGAAAACTCACTGAAGACTGAGGATGGTGTTGTAGTTGGCTTTCTGTTGCAGTGATAAACGCCACACTAAAAGCAGCTTGTAGAGTGCAGTGTTTGAGTGGTAAGCGTCTGCAGAGGCTTGGGTACTTGAAAGCTTGGTTCCCAGTTGGTGGTGCTCTGGGAAAGTGAGAAGGTGCAGCCTTGCTGGAGGAAGCACGTCCCTGGGTCAGGCTCAGACGAGACAGCCTTGCCTTTCGAGTTTGCTCTCTGCCTCATGCTTGCATTTGAAGATGTGAGCTCTCCATTTCCTGGCCACCATGCCTCCTGGCCATGGTGCTCTCCTACTTCTGGAACCACAAGCCAAAATAAACTCCTTCTGGAAGTCGCTTTTGGCCATGGTGTTTGATCACAGCAACAGGAAAGCCAACTAATGGGTGTGTATGTGTGGGCTTACTTCATGTATAGCCCTGGCTGTCTGGAACTCACTCTGTAGACCAGGCTGGCCTTGAACTCACAGAGGTCCACCTGCCTCTGCCTCCTGAGCGCTGGGATTAAAGGTGTGTGCCACCACTACCATTTTACAATCTTATGATTCCCAGCTCACAACCCATCACCAAGGGAAGTCAGGGCTGAACTTGAGACAGGAGCACTTACCAGCCTCCTCTCTTGCTTGTTCCCAGGCTTGAGCTCAGCTAGGTTTTATACAGCCTGGGCCCACAGTGGCTGAGCCCTCTTATATCAACCATTAATCAAACAACATCCCACAGACATGCCCACATGCCAATTTGATGGAGGGTAATTTCTCAGTGGAATTAGCTACTGCCGAGAAGTCCCTTCTCCCCAGGAGGCTCTGGATTGTAGCCAGAGTTTTCCTGCCTGGCCCACGGTCAGGGCAAATCTCTCTCATCTGTTAGTCCCACAGCCGCTCAGACCCAACCAAGTAAACACAGAGACTTATATTGGTTACAGACTGTATGGCTGTGGCAGGCTTCTTGCTAACTGTTCTTACAGCTTAAATTAATCCATTTTCATTAATCTATACCTTGCCACATGGCTCATGGCTTACCAGCATCTTCACATGCTGTTTCTCATCATGGCAGCTGGCAGTGTCTCTCTGACTCAGCCTTCCACTTCCCAGCTTTATTCTCCTCCTTGTCCCGCCTACATTTCCTGCCTAGCCAATGGCCAATCAGTGTTTTATTTATTGACTAATCAGCAACACATTTGCCATACAGAACATCCCACAGCACTGGCTGACAACAAAAACTAGCCGAGAAGATGGAGCCCACGGAGCCCACAAACCAGCCAAAGTCTAAAGGGAGGCAGACAGTCCAGGTGGACTGCCAGGGAGACTCAAAAGAGGGTCCCACGGTGCTAAAGACAACTGACAGGAGACAATGACCAGGAAGTCAGAAGTCACTGCCTCAGAAGCTTATGTTTTACACAATGATGAGGGATAAAACATCAGAGGCCAAAGTTGGGAAGGAGAGGGGCAGGGAGGGAGACAGGCAGACAGTACTCCCTGGCAGGGGTACTGGAAAGCTATACAGACTTTTTTTTTTCTTTACCCCTAAAAACAAGTGTTTGGGCATTCCTAACAGAAAAAGGAGAAGATGCAAAACCAAAACAGAGGCTGCTGGCTTTGCTCCCAATTTCAAAGGGCCTCCTTCCCTGGCTGTTTTGCCAGCTTATTTTAAAGTGGCGTATAGTGTTCCCCATGGCTGCTGGCAGCACGAGAACCCTGGCACAAAGCCTTCTTTGTACACAAAGCCTTCTTCTCGGTACAGCCATATTTGTCCATAGCAGAGAGTGTCCCAGGACACTGGATAAACTCGGCACCCAGCCTGCTCCAACCTTGGGAGTCTGTGGATCTAGAACTGGAATTTGGCTCAGCTCAGGGACCCAGTGAGGCAAAGCCTCAGAACTTACAGGCTGTGCCTAAAGCCGTCTCACTGAAACTAAACCTAATACAATGTATATACTTTTCTGAAATTTTTCAAATAAATAAAAAGTATTATTTTTTAAAAATTAAATGATCTTATTTATCTTTCAGGCATAGATCCAGATTTGCTGGTATTTGAGCATCCATCCCCCACATACCCAAACACCCGCTCCTCGTCTGATTGGTGGGATAGACTGCGAATTCTAAAAGCTCTGAATATAGGTAATAAAGGACTATACACAGATAGGACACAGCACATGCTGCTGTCCACAGAGGCTGCTGTGTCTACTACACATCAAGATCTGGGTACAAACACAGGTACCAGTTATTCCAGGAAGTCAACCACAGATCTGGGGATGAGATTCATTTCTGTGAATGTGTCCCCTGCTACCAAGATCAACATGGAGTCACCAAGCACAGACTTCACCCATAGTCCAGATAACATGACTATTTCTCCTTTCTTTGGACCCACAGACACAAAAGTTTCTCAGGTGCCCAGCCAATCCCGACTCAACATTAGCAAACAATTACTGAACAAAACAAAGGGGTCCCACAGTGGAAATCACACAGCTGAGGATGAAGTGCCTCAGGATGGAGCACCAGTGACCGCAGGGGCCTGGCTGGCTTCTGTGACCCTGGGCGCTGCCATCGTCTGCCTCTGCTGCTGTGTGGTCATCGGGGCATCCAGATGCTGTGGACTGCAGAGGTCAGGATAATACACTGGAGGAGAGTTCCTGAAAGCTGGAGCTAGGTTATGGGCTTTGAGTATGTTGTCAGCTTTCTCTAAGAAAACATTTTGGTTAAAAAAAATAAATAAATAAAGCTATGCCAGAAACCGGAGTCCTACCAAACGGCCAAGGTTTGGTAAAATTGTCTACTTTCCTGATGATTTCCATTTCCTGAATTGAGAGGGAGGAGAGGGGAGGAGGGAACCAGTTGGAAGGGACAGCACATGTGATCCCAGCACCCTGAAGATAGAGGCAGGATCAGGAGTGAGTTTAAGGCCAGCCTAGCCTTTTAAAAAGAAAATGGGATGGGAAAGGGGAAGCGGAGGAAAGAGGGACACAGGTAGCCTGGCTCAAAGCCAATTCTCAGTGACTGTAACATGGTGATAAAAACTGACTCAAGGTTTGGAAAAATGAGCTCAGGCATCAACGTAGCTGCAAGCAAACACTCCCTGCTTTTCAGGTCAGTTGATTAATGCTTCAATCCTTGGGACCCACCCGGTGAAAGAACAAACTCCAGAGATTATGGTGGCATGTGTGCATACATGTGCACGCGCACACACGCACACGTATACACCAATAAATGTAACAATATCCACCACATGACTAAAAACTTAAAAAGATGAAAGAAAAATTAAAGGAAAAAAAAAAGACTAAAAGAACACTGTTACCTCGGATGTTAAGAACAAACTGTCCACTGGCTTAAAGGATGACTTTCTCTTTCCCCAGTGTTGACACTGTGCTGTGGGATGTCTTTCTGTATGCTGTAAATATGTGTTGCTCTCACTGGTTGGTAAATAAAGCTGTTTTGGCCAATAGCCAGGCAGGATAAGGCTGGGTGAGAAGTGAAGCTGAGGACTGGGATGAAGAAGGGCGGAGTCAGGGCAGATTTGATCCAGCCAACCAAGGAGCAAGATGTCAGAGAACAGGTAAGCCACAGGCCACGTGGAAATGGGTTAATTTAAATGTAAGAGCTAGTCAGTAATAACCCTGAGCCACTGACCAAACATTTATAATTTATATAAGCCTCTGAGTGATTATTTGGAAACGGCTAGGGGATGGGGCAGGACAGAGGAAAGCCTCCGGTCACAACACTGGGTAGAAAGTAGCAATTTCTTTTAATATATAAAGAAGGGCCAGAGAGATGGTTCAAGGGGTCAAAGTGTTTGCCTGACCACAGGCTTTCAACCCGAGACCCACAGTAGAACCACCACCTCCCCAAAGGCTGTTGTCCGACCTCCACCCAGACACCACCAAGCCCTCCCTACAAACATGCACATACACCCACACATACACAGGCGTGTGCACACACATTTAATTCACAAATATAAAAAAAAATTCTATCAGTATCAAGCAAAAAAAACAATCTGATTTAAAAACTTACCTTGGCTTGCTCATGATTCAAAATATTAGGCTTCACAAATTCTCTTAACTTCTTTCCTAACACATTATAAAGTTCCATATCATTTGTGGGAAGAATATCCAGATTTAAATTATCATAAGCTTTATTCAAGCATATATGTGGTAGCACTTCTGGGATTCTTGGCCCCTCAAATTGTATTTAAAGAAGTAACTCAAGAAACTGTGTCTACAGATTATTTGAATAGTCTTTTAAAAGTTATTTATATATATATATATATATATATATATATATATATATATATATATATATTTAAGACAGGGTTTCCCTGGCTGCCCTGGAACTCCCTCTGTAGACCAGGCTGGCCTTGAACTCAGAGATCTGCCTGCCTCTGCCTCCTGAGAACTGGGATTAAAGGTGTGCGCCACCACCATCCAGCCCCAGTTTTTGCTGTTTTGAGAGGGTCTTGATATGCAGCAGAGAATAACTTTGGATTTCTGTGTAGCTGAAGTTTTCTCCAGTCCTGCCCAGGCCCACGGACCCCACAGCCATTTATAAAATAATCACTCAGAGGCTTATATTAATCAAAACTGCTTGGCTATTAGCTCAGGTCTACCACTGACTAGCTCTTCATTTAAACTTAGCCCATTTCTGTTAATTTGTATGTTGCCACGTGTTCCTTGGCTTTACCTTGTGCCATTACATGCTGGTGCCTGGACAGCAGGCTTGCATCTCCTGACTCAGCCTTCCACTTCCCAGAATCCTCCTTATCTGTTTATCCCACCTATCCTTCCTGCCTGGCTACTGACCAATCAGCATTTTATTTATCAACCAATCAGAGCAGCACATTCACAGCATACAGAGCATCCCACAGCACTCCTGATCTACCAAGTGCTGAGACTAAGGCATGTGTGAGCATGCCCAGTTCCAAATTTACTTTTTTTTTTTTTTTTTTTTTTTTTGGTTTTTCGAGACAGGGTTTCTCTGTGTAGCTTTGCGCCTCTCCTGGAACTCACTTGGTAGCCCAGGCTGGCCTCGAACTCACAGAGATCCGCCTGGCTCTGCCTCCCGAGTGCTGGGATTAAAGGCGTGCGCCACCACCGCCCGGCTCCAAATTTACTTTTAATTCATATGAATTGCTTAGGGATTTTCCAACACTGTAGAGGTACAAGAGATGTTTCTCCTGGGGTTTCTCACAACAGATGTTTCTTCATTCCTTGAAGAATCTCACAGAAATGACTAATTTGAAAAAACCCTATTTACCTTTATAAGGAAACAAATACACCCAACGCTCCTTCGGATAACTTGAGAGGGAGGCGATGCAGACCAGAGACAGGCAAGAGGCAAACACAGTGGGCTAGAATCACAGGTAGGCTCTTGCCATCCCACACTGATGATGGCAGCCTGAATCCTCAGGTAAACCCGAACTGGCCGAACAATTAAGGCAGTGCTTCCAAGACTGTCCTCACTGCTGACCCAAATGCAGGTTTTGGTATTTACAAAACCACCCCCTGGGTTTTGAAATTCTTTAGAACTCAGGGCTTAGCCAGTTATCCTTCAGGAAAAGGATATAGGTTGACATGGCCCAAGGACGATGATGTGCTTGAGTCCCGAAGCTCAGAGTGCTGAGCACAGGTCCTCTCTCAGGAGTCAGGCCACACCACTCTCCCAACGTCACTGTGTGACAGCTGCATGGACAGTCCCATCAATGTCCAAGAGTTTTGTTGATTTTTTTTTCTTGAGAGTGTCTCCTGTAGCCCATGTTGACCTTGACTTTGCGCACGCCAGGATTACAGTTGTAGTCTACCGTACCTGGCTATCCAAAGTGCTTACTGTGCCTCTATCACAGGAAGGCCGTCAGTTACCCAATCACAGCTTCCAGCTGTATGACCCAGAGGCCCACCCTGAATCAGTGCTGGCTCCTCAGACCCTCTGAGGCTAGCTCCTGCCTTAGACAAAGATTCTCCTATGAGGATAACACACACTAAGGCCAAAGACAAAGTCAAGTTCTCCATCACAGACTGGATACCCCTACTTTTATCAGTACTGCACCAGCAGACAGCCCTATGGAATTATACCTCACCAGCGCCCTGATGTCCATCTCAGCCCTACCTTAGCCATACTCTATACCTTCTTTCCTTCACTCCAAAAGTGGTGACATGCCTTTAAAAAAATTAGGGGGCTAAAGAGATGACTCAGTGGTTAAGAGCATAAACTGCTCTTGTAGAGGATCTGAGTTCAGTGCCAGGACCCATGTCCAGGGGTCTGATGTCTCTAGTCTCCCTGGGCACCTGCACTCACATGCACATACCAGTCACATACATAGACATACAGTTAAAAATAAAAACTCACCTGCCTCCTTAGCTTTCTGAGTACTAGAAACACAGATGTAGGCCCTCCAGTACCAAAGATAGACTCCTTCAAATATATGCTCTCCACATAATAGAAAAGTTCATTTATATCTCTGGCTTTTCATTCACATCTCTATGAAATGACACACACACCCCCCCCCCCCCCCCCGTGCCACACACACCCCTCTCAGTTAGGCTCAAAGCTCTATTTTTGTTCTTTACAATTTGTCTTTTTGGTCTAATTCCAAAGCCTAGTTTCATTTTCCACAAATGTTTAGTGACTTCCAGATCCACTTGAAAATACTGGACTGCATCTGGGGGATGAGGCTCAGTGGCAGTGTGAGCTGAGCATGAGTAAGGCCCTGGGTTCAAGCCCACTCACTACAAAACAACCCACCCCAAGACTCAACTGCAGTGCCCTGCAGTCAACCTGTCACTGCTCCTTGTCCTGCCCTTGTCTTTTTCTGCACTACTGCACTATAGGGGCAGGTGGCCGGAGGAGCCGAGGGAAGGCTATGGGCAGGTCTCCACGTGTCTTTCCTGCCAGCGGGGCTTGGAACCAGCTCTAGAGGCAGAGAGTAGATGCTGATCAGAGCTGAGGCAACATCAAACGGCCACCAGAAGGAACTGGACCAATTTCAGACTGCAGGACAGGCAGCTGCAGGTGGGTCCCATGGCCAGTCACTGTTTCCACACAGAACCTCCAATCCTCTACTTACACAAGCCTAAATCAGGAAGCGGCCAACAATCTGGATGCGCAGTTTTTGCCATGATGGCTTCACAACCTTCAGGATTGTCACTTTATTTTCTGTTCTCATAACGAAACCCGATTTACATCAGTGTTGGTGTTTTGTTGCGTCCACCGAGGGTATGCAGTTGTGCAAAGCAAACTGGAAAGGCCAATAACAAAGGGATAGCTACCTGCAAGTTTCCTGTCTGCTGTTAAATGACGTCTATATGGCAGAGCAGTGCATGTACAGAGCTGGAGCAGTCATGAGTAACACGGTTGCCTAGCTGCTGTCTGTGGAAGAGTGCAGCCCTCCTTGAGGCTGGCCACTGAGGGGCACTGAGCGTTTGGTCAGGTGCTGGGCCAGGTTTCCTCAGTAACCAAAGACACCGATCACAAGCAACCAGGAAACACCAACAGCAGAGAGACAGTTATGTTCATGTAAGCAGAGAGGACTAGAGTGGCCGTGTAGAACTAAAGCGAGAACACTTTAGAGAAAGCACAGCCTGCTGCAGGCGTCACCACCCTCGGGTAAACCAGAAAGCCCCAAAAGCACACTGCAGAGCTCAGGCGTCTGAAGGGGGCAACGTTAACTGACAACAGACAATATTCTTAAATATTTCCCATTTATATCAAATTGGTGACTAAAAACATCATAAAAGTGATACAGCAGACTTCTAGTTCCGACTTCACGCCAGATTCAACAGTCTCTTCACAGACTCTTTGTACTGCGTGAGGCTCGCCTCGCTCTCGCCCTCATTCTTGAGTCGAACAACACACTTCTGGTAATCTTCGACCTCTCTGGTCCCCAGCAGCTCTTCCCTGCTCGGAGCCACACTGCTCTCAGAGGCTCTCATCTGCAGCAGAGTTTGGAGAACATTTTTCTCTGAGGAGCTATTTTCCCACACATACTCTTCCATGTCTTCCTCAGTCTTATTTTTTTCCCATTCTTCAGTTTTCTGAAAGAAAAAGAAAAGTTCAGAACTCCAGGAAATGTTATCAAAAGACAGTTCCTTTGTTTGTTGGTTTTGGGGAAAGAATGTTACAGTATGTTCAAGGTCCCATCTATACTATGAACCGAGAGTCCTGCATGGCACCGCTGCCCATGGCCAGCCTTAAGGGCTGCACTCTCCCATGGACACCAGCTCTAGCTTCTTATATGCACTGCTCTGCCTCACACACCTATCAGACAGAAAGCTCTCTTGCAGGTGCCTAGTCCTAGGTTACCAGCGGTATCCCTTAGGTGAGCCTCTGCTCTGCTGCTGTCCTGGAGTGCAGGCAGTGGGACAGGCCTGCTGGGCCTAACCCACAGCACATCAGTATTTTACACTCGATCAGGTGTCGTGTTGACTAGTCTGGCTTCAGACTCCCCATGTAGCTTCGGATGGCCTTGAACTTTTGATCTTCCTGCTTCTGCGTCCCAGGAGTAGGGATTACAGATGTTTGATGCCACACCCCCTGATATTTCACATTTCTTTTTTTTTTTTTTTTTTTTTTTTTTTTTTTTTAAAGATTTATTTATTTAGTATACAGCATGTATGACTGCTGGCCAGAAGAGGGCACCAGATCACGTTACAGATGGTTGTGAGCCACCATGTGGTTGCTGGGAATTGAACTCAGGACCTCTGGAAGAGTAGTCAGTGCTCTGGAAGAGTAGTCAGTGCTCTTAACCTCTGAGCCATCTCTCCAGCCCCATATATTTCACATTTCTAATGTTAAAAATAATGAACTGATAGAAGTATTATCTTTCTAAGATGTGGGAATGACAGGGAAGATAAAGCACCATGATAATTAAATCAGGAACATATCTGGAGGCATAGTTTTTTTTTTGTTTTTTTTGTTTTTTTTTTTGGTTTTTCAAGACAGGGTTTCTCTGTGTAGCTTTGCGCCTTTTCCTGGAACTCACTTGGTAGCCCAGGCTGGCCTCGAACTCACAGAGATCCGCCTGGTTCTGCCTCCCGAGTGCTGGGATTAAAGGCGTGCGCCACCACCGCCCGGCTTGGAGGCATAGTTTTACTTTGATAGAGGAAACCATGAAGGGGGGGATGTATACAGATGCACACACAGCTTTTGCTTTGATAAAGGAAATCCTGAAGGGGGGATGTATACGGATGCACACACAGCTTTTGCTTTGATGACAGAGGAAATCCTGAAGGGGGGGATATATACAGATGCACACACAGCTTTTGCTTTGATAGAGGAAATCCTGAAGGGGGGGATGTATACGGATGCACACACAGTTTTTGTTTTGATGATAGAGGAAATCCTGAAGGGGGGGATGTATACGGATGCACACACAGCTTTTGCTTTTTGTCATAATAGCTTCATATCCTCTAAACTTGCTTTGCTGTTATTTTTATCTTCTGTTCTTGCATTATTAGTTCTGGTGCCTTGTTGCCATGTCACCTAAGGCACACTGCAATGCAAACAACGCCGACTGGAAAGGCTGCTCATAAATGGCACCAAGAAGCCACAGTAGGCCAGGCGTGGTTGTGTCCACCTTTAACCCCACACTCAGGAGGTGAGATAGGCCAGCCCAGGCTACATAGTGAGACCACATCGAAAAACAACAACAGAAGCTACTCCAACACCCTCCAGACTTTCTCAAAGATACAAAGGCAGTACTTTTTTTTTTTTTTTTTAATGAAGCACATCCCTTTGGAATATTCTCTATTTAAGAAGCACAAATACAAAATCTTACAAAAGCTTTTTTTTTTTTAAAAGCAAACTTCATTGTCTCTTCCTTCTTTAGTTTTTCTCTCTGGCCTTGAACTTGCAAACTATTCTTAGGTGGCCAACTGCTGGGATATGAGTGTGTGCTGTCCCATCTAGCTACAGCTGCTACTTTAAAACAAGATGGAGCAGGTCACAGCAAGTGCAAGTGAAGAAAACCAGGTACACAGCCCCGCTGCAGTAGGGACACCGCAGATTATGGAATCCACGAGGACTACGTGAATGAGAACTCCTGGCTGCAAGAACACAGAAAAGTCCTTCTGAACAATCACTGGCACTTTCTTCCTTGGAACATTTTCTGATTCTGCACATTAAGAGTGGAGTTTGCTTTATTCAAAGGGACTCTGACACTGAGGTATGAGCCAGGGCTTGCAAGACAGACCAGAATTTGGGAAGCTACATGAAGAACTGGCTTTGGTTCTGGGCTGCTTATAGGAAGCTGCAAGTCAGGCCAGGATTCTAAAAAGCACAGTGAGATCTCCTATAATCTCACGGTGCTGAGGACACAGAGTCCTGGGAGGAGAGCACCCTTCCCAGGCTGCTGGATCATGAAGCTGTAAGGGGCTCGCCATTACCAACCCAGACCTCAAACTTCTGAGGGAACAGACAGCCATCCTCCCCACATGAGAAGGCACTTACCCAAGACTGGGTGCTATGATGAAGAGAAGGGACAAACAGAGGTAAACTAAATCATGAAAACTGCATCCCAGCTAAGACCAATTCAATCAGAATGAATATGACAAGCCTGGGCTGCTGCCTGCTTATGGAGATAAGGAAATCCCTTCCGATAGACACTATCAACTGGAGTTGCTATGGGCTTATGGAAAACACAACTTGAGGAGGGTGCAGTAGTAAAGGACAAGCCTATGATCTTACCTGCTCAGAAATCTATGAATTGTGAGTAAAAGGCCAAGGCCAGCTTGGGCTCACAGACAAATCTTATCTCAAAACAATGAAAGGGTTGGAGAGGTGGCTCAGTGGTTAAGGACATACACAGCTCTTCTAGAGGACCCAAGTTTGGTTCTCAGTACCCACATACAGGAGCTCACAAGTGCCTGAAACGCAACTCCAGGGAACATGGCACCGTCCTCTGGTCTGTGAGGGCCTTGCATTTATGTGCACATACCCGTACACACAGACAACCCATACACAACTGAAGATAAAATAAATCTTTTTTTTAAATGAAAGAAAAGACAATATTTAGCATGCAATAAACGAAGATGCAAATATAAACAAAATGTCGTTAATAACCATAGGACACGCACTGGATGGCCTCAAACTCACAGCTATCCACCTGGCTCAGTTCAGGGGATCTGATGCCTCTGACCCTGTAGGTATGGCACTCATTTGCACATACCCACCCTCCCCCTGGCCCACCCTGAATGCTTACACACACACACACTCACACACACACTCCTCTCTCCCTGACCGACCACACCTCTGAAGCAGCAACTTTCCATTCACCTTCCCAGTTGGCTCCATCATCCATTGACTCCTTCATTCAATAAATCTATGAACCACCTGCTGCGCCAGGCACTGGGCCCTCCTGGAGCCTCAGCCCAATGAGAGGCCTGACGTTGAGCAGGTGCCCGCTGCAGAGCAGAATCCCAGCAGGGATACGGACTCATAAAGGTCCCACACAAGCTCAGCAGTCAAGGGAGAGATCAGGGCCAGGCAGGGCCAAGCAGCACGGACACAGCCAGATGGCCACCAGGAGACTCACTGCACGCCACGCACTGTTGTAGAGTCCAACATTATTAACTCACTGACCTCTCACATAACCCTGTGAGTTACAACTATTATCATCTGTTTTACAGACCAGCAAACTCAAGTCCAGAGCAATTAAATAATTTGCCCAAAACCACAATGGGCCTCAGTGGTGGAACAGCATGTTCTAAGGAACACAGAGACCTGGTGAGAAGAATCTCAGGGCAAAAGGATAACTTGATTTGAACCTAATATCCTTCTCCTCTGTAAGCACAAATTTAATACAAAGAACATGCTATCTAGTTAATGCAACAGTCAGCACCCTCTGCAGCAACAGAAGTAACTGCCTCCTACACACAGATCTGCCACCTCCTGCCACTGTATTCACAGCTCTCTGACAAGGACATGAGTCATAGTAATATTCCACTATTCACGATGACAAGGACGCTGTTGTCCTACGGAGGAAAAACAGTTTAACCACTAAAACAACTAGGCTGGCAAGACAGCTCAATAGGTGAAGGCACTTGCTGCCAAGCCATGCCTGATGACCCAGTTCAGTCGCTGGGACCCACGTGGAAGGAAGAGCTGACTCCCACAGGTTGTCCTTCGACTTCCACACAGCACTATGATATGTGTGCCCCCCCCTCCAAACACACACAATAAACACTGTAATTTATATAGCTACAAAATAGGGAATTTGAAAAAAAAATTCTTAAAAGAAGTAAAAAAAAAAAAATCCTGCCAATTATTTCAGCTGTCAAGGCTAAATTTTAACTGCATACATCAAGGAGTTCAAATTAGTTTGGACCAGTTTTAAAAGCATTTCACTGAGTACTGTGTGCCAGATACTGTACTACATACTAGGGAAACAGATGAGTGAAAAACTGTCCTTGTCCACTGTAGTTGGACCGTTTGGTCAGAACCGCCAGCTCCTCAGTAATGACACAGAGACTTATTAATTATAAAAGCTTGGCCATAGCTTAGGCTTGTTACTAACTACCTCTTAAACTTTAATCAACCCATTTCTGTTAATCTATATATTGCCACATGGCTTGAGGCTTTACCTGTCCTCCAGTATGTCTTGCTCCCTCTGGGTCACTTGGTGACCCTACTTTTCTTCTTCACAGCATCCTCTTGGCTGTCCTGCTATACCTCCTGCCTAGCTAATGGCTGTTCAGCTTTTTATTAAACCAATCCCAGTGACATGTCTTTACACAGTGTAAAGATTATTTCACAACAACCCCCAATGAGGCAGATATGTGCACAGGTACTAAACATGAGAGAATGTCAACCGAGGAAGGAAGGAAGGTATCAGGGAACATCCAGGAGTGGTGTCATCCTTGTATTAAAGGTCTCACATACATCTGAAAGGTTGACCAATAATGCAGAAGGACACATGCAAAGTCACAACACATGGGGACTGCAGTGGCTTCACACCCGGCTGACTAGAGCACACAGCCCATACTCCCAAGTGGCCAGGAATGAAGAGGCATACTCTGTGAAGGACACACTGGAGTCAGACTCGACATGAAGCTGGGAAACCCAGGGTATTATGAAGGAGACAAGGACAAAATGGAAGGCAGTGGTGGGACCAGTCAGGAGGCTGCGACAGTGACTCGGGTGAAGGACAAGAAGATGCTCACTGGAGCAGCAGCAGAAGGAAGGAGGGAAACAGCTCAACAGATATTTCCATCAGAACAGGAAAGATCTGGTAATGTACTAGATACAGGAAGAAAAGAATGGATAACTCTCAGATGTTTTATTTCAGCCCTTGGGAGGAAAGGGAAGCAAGGCTTAGCTCAGGTAAGGTGGAGGAAAGGTCTTGCCTCTAGGTAACATTGCTGCTTCCACCTGATGTCCAAATTCCTGTGTTACAAACATCTCCATCCTTCTGCTCACACTTGTCAGGCACAAAAACTGTCTTCAGAGAGGCTAACCTTCTAATTAGTTTCCTCTTTAACAATTATGAGATAATTAACAGTCAGGTTCTTCATCAGAAGTGCTGCAGAGCCTCTGGATCTGTGCTACAGACGGACCCTGAAGCTGCAGGACTCCACAGGTGCGGGGACACAAGCCTGGCTGGCAGTGGGCATGGACCCAGGTGACTCTTGATTCCTCAGCTACTGACTCTGAGAAGACAGGAACAGCACAGGTCAGGTTTTATTTCAGCTCTGATTGTTGACTATTCTGGAAGTCAAAGCTGGACAAACTAAAGCACACACTGCTGTGACAAAAGGAACTCAGCAGCAGTTCAGGCTGTGCTCCTTTGCTGATAATCTCAGTGACCTTGGGCACCTCTGCTATAGGTCAAAATTTCACAGCATAAAAAACAGATTGTAAGGGGAGAGGCGGGGGTGGGGCGGGGGAGACTGGGAAGAGGGATGGGGGGGGGTTAGGGGTTGGTATGTAAAATGAAAAAAAAATTTTTAAAGAAAAAAAAATAGATTGTAATAAAACAGCCTTCCATCCTTGATTTTCAGGGTAAAAAGGGTGACCCGCACTAAATGCTCTGCACTAAAACAGGAAAAGAAAAAAAAAAAGATTGATTTGAAATACTTTCAAAACTTCCTGGCTGACTCCTTTGTTAGCCCAAAGGGCTCACTGGAGACAGTGGGGGTTGATGGTGGGAGGGGCAAGGGAGGGGAAGAGGGAGAGGGCTTGGGTATTAAGATCACATATCACCTTTTCTAATCAACAACAGAACTGACTGGGAAGATGCTGACTGCTGACAGTGAGCCCAACACCTAGGAGAGGAAATCATAGGCGAGCACCAGGTCCAGCATTAGACCTGGCTCTGCTCTTGGGAGGCTGGGAAAAGGAAGGCATCCCGAAGAACAGATGCTTCATCACCCAGCCAGCTGGCATCTTTGCCACAGGATCCACTTCTTATAGGACTCTCTTTCCAAGTCAAGGGTTGTGCTGAGGCTAAACTAATCAACAGGTCTGTAGGGAGACTCCAGCCCTGACGCTACGTGAGAGAAGAGCTGGCAAGCAACTGCACCTGTCAGCAGACCTCCTCTGGTTTGCATGCCTCTATTTCAACCAAGACTTCATTTTTATCGGAAGTATTTACTGTAAGGTCCCCTTTAAAGTGAACTCTCTTGACGAGTATAAACCGATCTAACTTTGGGTTGAGGTTGTAGTTCAGCTATCAGGAGAAGGGTCTGTGCTTGCTCCAACACCTCATGCAAACTTCAACTTAGAGACGCCATGATTTTTAAAGTCAGGCTTTTTTCCTTTGCAATAAGACCATCATGATAGCTAGGGAAAGAGCCTAGCAGGAGAACCCTTGCCTAGTTTTCAGGAAGCCCCACGCTCAATGCCCAGTATTTAGACACACAACTGTAGTAAGGTGAACGCCAATCAAAACCCACGTTTAATTGTTAAAAAGGAGCCTTTGTAGCAGTTCAGCGTCAGAGCCCCCGAGGGCCTCTGGTGCCAGCCCCCACCTCCAAACCTCCCCTGGCCCTGTGCTGGCACTCGCCTGCCTCTGTGCAAGTCCTCCAGTCCTCCTTCCCCTGTGGAGAGCTAACACACATCACACTGCACAGGGGAACAGCAGGTTCTGCAGCCAGTCAGACTGAGCAGATCGCACGCTCTAGCCTGGCTTCAGTATACAGAGCTCTGTCAAGTTAAATACAGGCTGTTTAGAGGAATTTGTAATAATGGTACTTGAAACTCTAAGAAAAAAAAGTTTCACTTTAATATTTTTAACTGTTTACTGCAGTTCCTGAGAGTTCATAATTTGCTAGATATTATAAAAAATTCTGTTTAGAAGGAAACCTAGTATCAGAGCCTAGACAGCTTACACATGGCTTTTGATGCTTAGAACGATGACCCATGTAGGCAGTCACAGAACCAAGGCTAGCATCCAAGTCCGCATGGTCCCGCATGCTGAAGGCTGACTCACAGCTCATCGAACTGAACACTGACACAAGGTTAGCATATCCGAGGACACTGGTCTAGCAAACACCCACCTCCCATCACTGCCAGCACTCAAGAATGTGAAGCGCCGGCCTCGGGTCCTAAAGCCATGCTTTGTGACGTCTATACTGACTGAAGATAATTGACACTGCTATAGTTAACTTGCTTTGACTGCTAGGCAGCAAACACTCTTACACTAAGTCTAGATGAACACTTTTCCAGAAGTGGCCTCCATAGAAACTCTAAAAAGCCAAAGGACATTCATATCTGCACACCAAGTGTTCAGAGGCCAGCCCACTGAGAATAAAGCAGTGGACTGGGCAGGGGCTCTGAACACTGGCTCAAACACCAGGTGGCAACATCCGTTTCAAGTATGAATTCCAAGCTTGGTGAAGGAGAAATAATTCAGTAAAACCCCATCCTAGAGCCCTACAAAGCTCTGTGGCTCATTGGTACCTGTGTCTTCACTGATGCAGTCTGTTCAGGAAGGATCGAGGGCCAATTTTCATGTAGGAATTCTCTAATTACAGCAGTTTAAGACAGTTGTGTGTGGTACTTACTCTGGCATCAAAGTAATTAGTGTGAAAGATGAAAGGCGTGAGTCCAGAGTACAGCCTTGCTGGATTCTGTGTCACAGAACCACAGAAAGAATCTGGGAAGTCAACTGTCACTGAATTTGTTTATGCCTGTCATTTCCTCTGGCGAATTCACTTTACAGGCAGCTGGCAACGTAAGAGACTCCAAACTGGCTGGTTTTTATTGTTTGTTATTAACTCTTTCGACAGCAGCTATGGACCTGCAGCTAATTCAAACATGTTCTTGGTTCAAAGGGAACTTAATTATCTCAAGTCAAGGGCAGTTCTCAATCAATCGACAGGAAAGAGATTAACTGCTACCATGATGACATTCCGAAAGCCAGGATATAAAACACAGATGAATCATGGGAGAGAACCCTGCAGAAGAAGAGAGCCGGAGGCTGTTTTGTTACTAATCTTGAAATAAAGCTTTGTTTTCCTTCCACTTGCCACTCACTGTGTTAAACCTGATCATTGTTAGTAACAATGAAAATGTAATAAGCAGTCTGAAAACAGCTGCATGTGTTAACCGATCATCCCTGAGGGCTGCCACTAACACACAGGGAGATGCTTCTCTCCTGGGTCCCCACTAAGGGTCAACACAGGGAACCCTGCCCCACTGAGAAGTCACCATATCTCTGGATGAATCCATTAGAAAGCTCATTCGGTGGACTGGTGGCTTTTCCCCCATTACTTCCACTCTGCCATATCTAAGAGCAGGGCATGGCAGGAACACTGTCCTGAGACTGGCCAAATGAATCACCTCACGGTCTTCACACACATTTTATCCACGCTTGCAGTACATCACATATGTCCTTGCCCCCCTACACACACACACACACACACACACACACACACACACACACACACACTTACCCAAGACTCGTGGTACAGGACTGTGAGGAGATACAGCGCATAGTCATAGTTCTGCCTCTTCAAAGGGCATCTTTAAGAAGAGAACAGGTCAAAGTTTCAGCATACAGATAATTCATAAGACATTCTAAGACAACAGGTAGCATTCTTTGAACTTTATCTGCCTTAGGAAAATTCTGCGCTTAGAATACTCAGGATAGCTAGACTTGGCGGCACACGTGGGAGGCAAAGGTGGATGGATCTCTGTGAGTCTGAGGCCATCCTGGTCTACACAGTGAGTTCTAGGCCAGTCAGGACAACATAGTGAGACCCTGTCTTGAAAAGAGAGAGAATGAGAATATTCAGGATATTAAATACTGTTATTTCTATCTTTGCTTTCATCATTAATGGAGTTATTTGAGCTTAGTAGCATTAAGCGACTTTGAATACGATATGCCCAAGACATTCTCTTTATCATTTCAGTGCTTCGAGCCATGTGGACAGCACAAGCTTATCTAACGAGTCCATTTAAAAAGCAGGACAGACAGACAAGGCTGGAGAGACAGCCGAGTCGGTAAGAGCACTGGCTGCTGGTGCAGAGGACCTGGGTTCGGGTCCCAGTATTCACATGGCAGCTCACAAAGCCATCTGTAATTTCAGTTCTAGGGGATCTGATACCCTCTTCTGGCCTCTATGGCCACTGTATGTACATGGTATACACGCAGGCAAAACATTCATATACATAAAATAGAAATAAATCTTTTTTTGCAAGAGCAGATGCTGACTCTTTCAAAAATGAGCTGTACTATGTGTCTATTGCTGCTATTTTAAAATCGAACTAAGACCCCAGTATTAAGTGAAACTTCCTATGAGAATGACATGTGATACTTTTAGAATAAGATAGAAAAAGTAACAAATGCCTCTAATCACTTAAAGTATAAAATAAAAGCATCACATGGCTTATTAAAAAGCATCACATGGCTTATAAAAAAGCATCACATGGCTTATAAAAAAGCATCACATGGCTTATAAAAAAGCATCACATGGCTTTTAACTCTACATAGTTGCCAGCATAAATCATATAACTAGATAAATGATAGGTACTATCATTGACAGTAAAAGCAGCATTATCAGATGGTGCACATGCACACACAGTTGCACACACACACACAGAGGCACACACAACAAAGGCACAGACACACAGAGAGATAGACACACACAACGAAGAACACTAGTCCGCAAAGTTCCACCCACCTGTCTGTGGTGATAGTGAGCACATCAGTTGTCTTGCAATACCTCTCTCCTACAAGTTTAATAAGTTTCTTCTTTGCATGGTTGTCTAAATTCAAACTGGAAAGTTTAACCTTAAAAATACAAGAAAAAATATGTAAAAAAAAATCATATAATTTGTTTAATGAAGAAAAGCAGAGCTATTTAAATCAACATTAAACTCAAAAAACAAAACTTCCCCAACTTCTCTGTATGCAGTTAGCAGTCAGCAAAGCGCACAGGCCCAACCTTACTCTTGGAAAGTGGAAAAGCAAAGTGAAAACACAGTTTGGAGCTCTTGCAAAGTGCTGGCGCTTGCAGCTTCCCTGCGGGATCCACACAAAGCTTATGAGAAGCGCTGACAGAAACCCCATCACTGTCAGTAACTGGACACCGGAAGTAAGAGGTTGCTGAAACAGCACAGACCCAAGCACTCCCAACCACTCCACCCTGAGACCATGTTACTGCATCCCTGCAACTGGTTCAGGACGAAAATGACACCCCAACCTAAAGGCTCTAGGAGGCTGGAATATCATACCAGGGAAGAATCAACATTCTTCAGAAGCTAATACTGGCCCCCCGGCTGTTAGGAACTTGTCTACCAGGCTGGCAAAGTGCTTAGTGGCATAAAGCCCTGACTGCCAAGCGTGGGGACCTGAGCTCAATCATCAGACCCCACAGGATAGAAAGAGAAAACAGACTCCTACAAGTTACCCTCTGACCACCACACAAGGACATGGACGGACACACACACACACACACACACACACACACACACACACACACGAATGAATACATTTTTTAAAAAAGATGTGGAGGCCTCCTAGAAAAGTTTTTTCTCCCTCATTCCCCTCACCCCCTTTTGCCCACACTGGGGATGAAGCCACAGTCTGGCACACAAGGCAGGCACTCTGCCACTTGGCTATATTCCTAGCTCAGAACCTTTTCTTTACAGGTGATTCTGTAGCTCAGTGGTGGAGTGTTTGTCCAGCACATGTGCAAGATCTTGAGTACAGTCCCCACTGATGCAAAAAGAGAAATGCTATTTCTGTTTCAACTAGATATATTTAGGATAAATTGAGTTGAATCAGGGTCTTTCCTGGAACTCGCTTTGGAGACCAGGCTGGCCTTGAACTCACAGAGATCCACCTGGCTCTGCCTCCCGAGTGCTGGGATTAAAGGCGTGCGCCACCACCGCCCAGCAAAATGAGCATCTTTTATATTAGGGTATATTGGGTATACCCTAATGAGAATACAGTGGTTTTTTTTTTTAAACACCTATGAAATTATAATATTAAACAATAACATTTAAAATTCCAATTTTTATGCCAATGTTCAAAAAAAGTGGCAGCAATGTTGATTATTGTTGCAATCACTGTTTTAAAATTCATATTCACATTAGTATCTTATATAAAAAGATTTCAGCCAGACACTCTGAAGCTCTTCACAAGTGGCTGTGTGGCACACGCACGCCACCTGCTAGCCCGGAAGGGCACTGCAAATCCTCATCTTTGAGCTGGACCAACACTGACTTCCAGGCCAAGTGCCATTCACAGCCTCTTCCCAAATCCATGTTTTACAAGCTCTGTTTCCACAGTCTTGTGCTGTTAACATTATCCCCAAACAATGCTGCACTTCCAGTCACAGGAGGCTGTAATGTGATGCACTGTCCTCAAATGCCTGTCTATTATCACAAGAACTACACAACACTGAGGAATGTCTCCCACATCTGCAAACACAATGTGACAGAACTGTGGTCCACACATTAGAACTGAGCAGGCTTCTGGGTTTGCCACTTGCTCTGTAACTTCAAGTCACTTTATCTCAGAAAAACTTCGTTTCTCAGGACAACTTAACTCAGGGGATTTCTGCAGGAATGAGACTAACAGAGGGAAGCACTTTAAAAGTCAAGTCTTACACAAACACAAAGTCCCTGATTCTAAATGTTTATGACTATGGAGAAAAACATAACACGTACTCTGCAGTTTTACACTGTGGAGGCTGAAGTGTCAGCACAAGTGTAAGGTCTTGCATTCAGACCCATCAGCGGACTGCCTGCAACTCCAGCTCAGGCAGAGAGGGGGAGCTCCTGAGTGGGCTGCCTAGCTGGACTAACTGGGTTGGCAAGCTCTGGGTTCAAATGAGAGGTCCTGCCTCAATTAATGAATAAGGTGGAGGGTAACCCAAGATGATTCCTGACTCGAGCACAGGACCTCCAAACATACTTACATAGACATGCACTCACTCACACATACATGAGCCCACAAACAAACATACACACAAGCACACATACACAGAAACAAGCATACACACAAACACACACAAAAACAAGCATACACACACAAACATACACAGAAAGCATACAAACATGCACAAACACACATGTACATACACGCACACATAGAAAGCACATGCACACACCAGAGTCACAGAAAAACAGGCATACATATATGTTCACATGCCACACACACTCATTGGTTTGGATGTGAAGTGTCCCCACAGGCTCGAGTGTCTGAATATTTTGTTCACAGGTGGTGTGCTGTCTGAAGACATCGAAGAACCTTTGGGAAATGGTTGGAACCTTGGGTCTGGCTGGAGGAATCGGGGAGCTGGGAGGACAGCCCCCATGTTACGGCCTGGCTCCACTTCCGGGCCAAGCTCTCTGCTTGCAGATCCAGAGAGACGAGAAGCAGCCCCATGCTCCTGTTGTCTTGGACAGGGGCTCCCGCTGCCATCTTTCCCCACCGTGAAACAGCTAGCAGGACAGATCTGCTCTGAACTGCTTCTGTTAGGTCCTTTGTCTCTAATAGGAACCCACGAACAACTACATTATAGGATTTGTTCTTCTCCTTCACCACACTCTTTAGTTTAACCCAGAATTCATGTAAAGGTGGGAGGAGAGAACCAACTCCACAACACACAACTAACGATTGCTTAATAACAGTTACGATGTTTATTCCTATGAAATGCAATCATCAGATTACAAAGCACACACAATACCACCCCATTAAACACAATAGGCTGCATGAGCAGTAAAAATGCATTCGTTTTATAATCAGATACAAAATGCACTTAAAATACACCTAATGACAGTCACAGTGTTCAAAATGCTCTTACCCTTAATGTTACCACTCGTGCTTTGGGGTTTCGAATAGACGGTCCTGACGACACATAATCCGCTGTGTCAATCTCAATTGGAAAATGCTTTTCACACTTCTCATCACTGTCTAGTGCAGCTGGCCACTCAGTGCAGAAATCTGAGATGATAAAAAGTTATCTCATTTGTAGCTCTGTAAGTGATGCCCACTGTAACATGGGCCAGCAGACAAGATAGTCATTGGTAGAGTCTGGAGTCACAGAAGTCAAGCACAGGCTCTCCTCTGCACTGGACATGCATGTTGCTATTCCTCACCCCTTTCTTCTATGGTCCATCCTAACCTGAGAATGTTAGCTTTGGTGGGAGCAGGGATGCTGGGATATGGCTGGGGGCGCTTACCATGCCCACAGCCCAGTCCTCAGCACTGAAACTGAGTACACTATCTTGATGGACGTGCCAGGCTCTGCGAGCAGCTGCTGTTTAACTCTTCTTTCCCAACAACAGGCAGACAGCTCAGTGCCCAGAGTTCACTGCTAACTTATCCCCAAACCAACATGACTAGACAAGATCAACTGACAGGAACTGAGACCCGGAGGAGCTAAGTCCTGCCAACATTCTTCCCGAAACCAACTTACATCATCGTTAAGAGGGTCCCCACACCAATTCCTGCTCTACCATGTGACCCCGATGAGCCAGTGTGGTAAAATGGAAAACACAAACAGCTTGTCCTCATCTTAAGGGAAGATACCCCAGACAGAAGGTCGGTCTGGGTCTGAGATCTAGACCACAGTCCTTTCCCAAGCACTTATGGACAGGGCTCTCTCATTCCCCGAGCAGAGGTATAAACTCAGATCCCAATTTGTTGATGGGGAGTGGCTGCCAGCTTCCCACAGTTATTAGTATCTGATTTCACATTGCCTGACTCCTGCCAAGTCTCTGTGGACAGGGCTTTTAGCTGAGGATGAGGATTTCTCATACTGGGGGCGCTTCTCAGTCCTTGAAGAGCTCCACTCTATGAAAAGCAATCGGTTCCTCGGTTATAGGCGGACCTCACAGACCCAGGCTTCCTCTTGCAAAGCACATTGTGAGAGAAGCTGGTCATCATTGTGGACAGATAACATCGGGGACACTGAGAGGCCCTTTGCCTGTGACATTTCCCCAATTCCCCAACAGTAGTACTTTATCTTCCTTTAGGCTTGGTCAGAGTCAGTAAAATGTCACTCTGAGTTACAAAGATTCTCTGACATCAGTGGCTTGTGCTGAGGCAGCAGGAGGTCATGAATTCAAGGCCACCCTGGGCTACATGGGGAGTGCCAGCCAGATTGAGCTACCCTGCGAGACCCTGTCTCAAACAAAACAAAACAACCCCACCCCCAAGATGACAGTCCCTAAAGCCTGTGTTGAGGGAAGGGAGACATCACTGAAATGGATAATACTCTGATATGTGAAGAAGGGAAAAGCAGGGCAGGGTTGACCATCATTTCCACTGTGGACTCAGGCAGCATTCTACACCATGACGCAGGACACCAAGCACTTGTAAGAGACCAGTATGCTTAAGTACACAGACTGTTGGTTTTGCACAGAATATTTTTTCTTTTAAACTGCAAATAAGTCATTTCAATCACCAGATGATAATTATAGTTTTTACATTAAATTACCTAAATTATGTGTCCAAAAATAAAAACGCAGCCAAGGAGAAAGCACATAATAGACCCATTAGCGCCTCATCTGATAGGCACAGCAGTGGGTTGACTTTCAAAAGTCTTGGCTTTTACTTGACTTCTCCACTTGGTAAATTACTAAACTCCTACATTTCACATTTTCCATTTGCAAGTTAGATATAAAATCTCAAGTGACCTACTTTAAAAGAAAACTGAGAAGAAATGATGAAAAACCTTGAGTCTTTTGGAAGATGCAATCTCAAGCCAGAGACGGCAGAAGTGTAATTAAGGAAATAGGAAAATGCTCATTTACGCTCTGTAGGAAACAGTGCTGCCATCCTGAACGTGCTCTTTAGAAGCCTTGATTTCAGTTTAGGAATTAGAGAACTCCTTTATCAAAACAATCGGTTGCTAGAATACAAGCACATCTAAAAATGTTTGACCCCAGGGACCCACACAGTGGAGGGAGGGAACTGAGTCCCGTCAGCTGTCCCTGACCTCCATATGCACACCACGGCAAGCACATGCTCTAACACAACAACACACACACACACACACACAGAATAAATAAAATCTAATTTTAAAATTATTTTGTTAAAAATTAAAAAGATGAAAAATGTAATTTACCATGGTGTACAGGAATGCATTTGTGGACTGGCTTTTACAAGATAAAAACGTGGAATTCAATCTGTGTCAAGTGGGACATCAATTTGGAAGTTGTCAGTCTTAGAAACGTCCTAGCTTTTGTTCTTTTCCTAAAAAGTCAGAACAAGTTTTCTGCGCACCGAAGAGTGCCTGAAAGCATCCTGGTGTTCGCTGATGGCCCTATCTAAAGGTACTAATTGTTCAACTACAGAATCCCCAAGAGCTGTGGATCAGTGCTCGCTTGCGCGCGCGCGCGCGCGCGCGCGCGCACACACACACACACACACACACACACACACACACACACACACACACACAACTACGGGAAGATGTTTGCCTTCACGTCATTGCTGCTGTGGGGAGCGGCATTCCTCTGCAGGCTCATTTGTATGAGCTGGTGGCACTGCTTTGGGAGGCTGTCGAATCTCTAGGAGGTAGGGCCTAACTGGAGGAAATTGGTGTGGGGTTATTGCTCTGCTTCCTGATCTGTCAGACAGTAAGACACTTTACACTCCAGCTGTGTCAGCCAGGAGCCCATAGCCACGCCCTCTCTGCCATGACAGATTAGAACCCCTCACATTGTGAACCCAAACAAATCTTCCTGTAAGATGCTTCAGTAGGGTACTCTGTCATAGTGACGAGAAAATACTAATATTCCATGAGGGAAGGAGAGAGCCACCATGCAGGTGGATGACATATACGCTAATGCCCAAGGAGCAACAGCCGCTGCTTCAAGTCAGCAGATCTAGAACTGGTACAAATAAACACGGTCCTCTGGAAGTAATTACAAGAACTAAGGAATGACTAAAAGATTTTTTCTGGGATAAGAGGCAGGGATGAAATAGCAGGAGGCTTCTACTATTTGATTAACTACATATATGTATCACTTTTAAGTTGTCAATGTTTTAAAACAGTTAACCAGGTCAAATCTGTAATCGTGCACTCTGGAGGAAGAGGCAGGAAGATCACTGCAAGGTGGAGGCCAGTTCTATAGAGCAAGTTTCAGATTAACCTGGGTTACACAGCAAGATCTTGTCTCAAATGAGTGAATGAATGAATGAATGAATAAGTAAATAAATAAATGTTTAAAAACTAAGCTAAGCAACACAGCTGCTGACATGGTAATTTAGGACTTGTCTCACATGGTCAGAGAATGCTGCAGGTACTTAGTAAAGCCAGGTCCAGACACAGAAAACCTCTAAAGGTACAGTATGTTTGAAAATGTGCTTAGATGCTTAAAAAACAAACAAACAAACAAATAAATAAATAAATAAAGGGTACAGTCACAGAAACAAATGAATAGTATAAGTCTTTTTTTTTTTTTTTTTAAAGATTTATTTATTTATTGTGTACACAGTATTCTGCTGGCCCGTATGTCTGCAGGCCAGAAGAGGGCACCAGATCTCATTATAGATGGTTGTGAGCCACCATGTGGTTGCTGGGAATTGAACTCAGGACCTCTGGAAGAGCAGCCAGTGCTCTTAACCTCTGAGCCATCTCTCCAGCCCCGAATAGTATAAGTCTTTAAAGAAAGAATAAAGTAATATAAAAAGAATAAGTCATGTAAAGATGGGAAATACACAGGGTGTCTGGATCCTTATGGTGCTTTGTTGACTTTAAATTTTTTAAATGATAATGTACAAAAATCATTAGCTGCTGAGAGACAGTGGATTATGGAAACTGATCAATTAAACCCACCTCTATATTTTAAGACTATCTTAACTTCAAAACAGAAGTCAAAAATATATTGTGCTGAGGTAGGGGTTATGCCTTTGTTTCCACAGGGAACAAAAAGTTATGGTTCTCTTCAAAACTAATAAAGATCAGATTTGATTGGGGAAGACTTCTTGAAAATCTTGGCTACAGACATGAAAAAAGAAGCCAAAAAGACTACAGGACAGGTGATGTATATGCTGATCCCTCTACTATGGGAACAGCTCTGAGACTGGACGAGACATGATAAATCTTGTTGGCTACAGAGTCTTCATGACTTATTATTACATGGATAGAGGTTTGGTTATACAGTCCAAACAAACTTATAAAGTTAATAGATGACTTTTACCTGCTCAAACATAAAACAAAAAAATCAACTTTAGCTGACTTGTGCACACCACATTCCATACTTGTGTTAATGCAGATATGTTACCTTTAAAAGTTTGTGTGCTTTCAGGAAAAAAAAGGACCAAACACCAATGAAGACAAGTAGCCTAGCCTCTCAGAATGCCTGCCTCAGTTGCAGTTTCCACAAAAATCTATATCCAGAACAACTTCAAAGCTGCTAGCTGAGATGGTCCAGCCTCACAGACTACTCCAGCCAAGATAAGCTCTACACTTTCCCATCACACAGAGACTAAACAAAAAATACAACTAGCTCTCCTAGGCCTTGACCATTATCTCATTTTTTCAGGGTCTCCTAAAGATGCTATAGTCCTCAGACAACAGAAAGCAGTCTCAAAAACATGATGCCCACATTCCCAAGAGGTGGAATATGTGATTTTTTGATTGTTCATGGATTATGGATGTTTATCATCATTTAGGGGGTTGGTTGAAAGTTGTTGTTGGTCATGGTCAGGAAAAAAAACTGAGCAAAGGAGATTCAGGGATTTCTTTCTGAAGGGAAAATGGGGGGATACAGTATAGAAATGATAGGATAAAAGGAAGGATTGTTGAGTCAACTTTTGAACTAAAAAACAACTACTAGTCTCCACTATTTTACATTGGTGTGAATTTTTATATACTGATACAAATTCAATGTTATTTTTGTTATACTATATATATGTTTCTACTCTTGTTTAAGGTATTGTATCTATGCAGCTCATTTAACAATGGAATGTAAATTTTCAGTCCTTGAAAGCTATTATTATTAACTATTTAGGATAATTAAGAAATACAGGTGAGTAGTTAGTCATCTATAATAATCAAACTTATAGTCATGTTAGGTATGTTTTCAAGGTCAAAGAGAGATATATTCTATATAGACAGATGTTCTTCAAACACTTCTAAGACCTACAGAATATGGCATTTAAAATGTCTTAATAACATAAGGCTTTTCATGACAATGAGACACATCTTCGCTGGCAGCACCAATTTACTTCAAAAAAGGATGATGGACATCAAAGAACCTCTACATGGAGTTTGCTTTCTATGATGCAAAGCTAGCCATTTGGGAAAGAAACTACCCTTGCCTCAATTGCTGACAATATGCTGTCCAAACTGGACAAGCAGGACACAAAAGAAGGTAATTGTCAAACTTTGCCAAAATAGGTAGGATAGTTCTTCAAAATTTCTGATTAACAAAAAAGTCTGTCAGATATTCTAGTCCCCAACGTTGCAGAGGAATCTTAGGTGACTGTCCAGGCAGGCAGGTAGGTGTCTCTGGTTGTTTCTATAGTTTTGGAAGTTGCTTGCTCTGCACTTCCTGTATACTCAGGTAATATTATATCCTTCTCAGGTCTTTGATGAGGTTAAAGAGTAAATAGTTATAGTTACAGTTTTCCTTGTTACCAAATTCAGAAGGGAAACTCACAAAAGAGATGTAAAGTATATAAGTTTGAGAGACATAAAAGCTTAAGTTGTTTATCTAAGAAAATGTTTTGAGGTCTAAAAAGATAAGTTTTGGATTGGTAATATAAGTCAGGATAGAAAGTAAATTGGATACAAAACTTTGACTCACCAAGATAGGATAGATAATGGAATATTTTCTCTAAATTTGCCAAATGCAAATGGACTTGTGAATGTAATTCTTACCTAATTATTGTCCTGTGTTAAGAGCTAAAATTTTCCCTCTTTATTTAGACAAAAAGGGGGAAATGTGGGATATTTGTACACTGTATAAAGATGTATTGGTGTGATTGCTTTAATAAAAAGCCGAACAGCCAATAGCTAGGCAGGAGAGACAGGCAGGACTTCTGATTGCTGGGAAGAAGAAAGGTAGAGTCACCAGCCAGGAGTGGAGGAAGCAGGATGGGCAGCACAAAGTAAAGGTAACCGAATCACGTAAAAGAATGTAGATTAAAAGATAAGGGCTAATTTAAGTTATAAGAAGTAGTTAGGAACAAGTCTAAGCTAAAGCCAAGCTTTCATAATTAAGTCTCTGTGTCATTATTTGCGAGTTGGCAACCCAAAGAAAAATCGGTCTACAATCTGCTTCTGCCACTGAATGTATTAAATATTCACAATGGTGTTTATTTTTAAATGTAGAATGGAATTAGGGTAAAACAGCCTACCATCTGGTGATTTAAAAAAAAATTATGGTTTCACTTTGTTTTTTGTTTTTGTTTTGTCTTATTTGCTAGTTTGGTTTTTTTCAGATTCTGTTAAACTATCCAGGATAGCTTCAAACTGACCATCCTCCTGGCTCAGTCTACTGACCGCCAGGACTATAGTGTGCATAACCACACCTTAGTTTCAACCTCTATTTATTTTTGACGAGTTTACAGTGCTCAGCAAAAAATTATTGATGAAAGGGCTGAGAGGTGGCTCTGCAGTTAAGCACACTGGCTGCTCTTCCAGAAGAACCTAGGTTTAATTCACAGTACCTGATGGTGGCTGACAACCACGTATAACTCCAGTTCCAGGGGATCTGACACCCTCTTCTGGCCTCCGTGAGCACTAGGCACGCACATGGTATACAAATATGCATGCAGGCAAAACACCCACATACAAGACAGTGATAATAATAACAAACATAAACTGCTTACACACCTAACATCTCAAACTACTTACAAATCTTTGTTTAATGGAGAAAGAGGCAGGAGGGTAGCGCCTTCCTGGAGCACTACCACATAACATAAATTTCAGGCCACCCTGGGCTACCTAGCAAAGAAGAACAAGATCCTCTCAACAAAATAAAAGTAAAGGAAAGAGACAGCGACTCAGAACATAAAGTTGTATCTCATTAGACTTAAGATTCTTTGTTTTATGTTAAAATCAGTCCCAAGTTCCCAGAAGAAAACCTACCTTTGAGAGCTTCACAGTGCCTTTTAATCGCCACAGGAGTCAAATGCAGAAAATTCGGGATCTAAAAATAGAGACGTTTCAAAAGGATAAATTACAGCCAAATCTCCCCCTCCCATCCCCCTTTTTTTTGTGAGCTAGAGTCTCGATATATTTCCCAGATATTTTCAAACTCATAGGTTCAAGTGACCTTCCTGCTTCGGCCTCCTGGGTAGCTGGGACTACAGCTACGCCACCATGCCAGCTCTGTCATCAACACACGAACAGGATCATATTCTTAGAAACTAAACCACAGGCCCAACAAATCATGTAAGTAAAGTCCAACAGCTCTTCTACAGCATTGGTTCCAAGCACAGACATCAGTCAGGAAGTAGATTCTATATGATTCAGTTCTGATACATCAGAATCAGATGGCAGTCATTTTATGTCTTACAAGACAGCAGTCACGTTAAAAAAATAAACACTTTCATACATTCTTTATGTCATGTATCTACAGTATTCATGTGCAATTCCATTATAAAAATAAGGCATTCAGGGTGTGTTAGCTTACACTTATAATTCTAGCACCCAGGGAGACTGAGGCAGGAAGTTTGTGAAGTCAAGGTCACTCTGGACTCAAAAGTCCAAAAAACAATAATAATGATTTTTGAATGCATGTAAGGATACCAATCTGTCAATCACACAATCCTCCAAGAAACATGGTATATTATTTTTGCTTTGCACACAACAAACATTTTATAAACTGAATGAACAAAGCTAGCAAATCTCAACTAGATAGTTGATTATATTTATTTATTAATTAATTTTTTGAGAAACAGTCTCCTGTAGCCAAGACTAGCCTGGAACTTGAGATGGACTCCTGATCCTCCTGCCTCAGCCTCCCAAGTGCTGGTATTGCAAGTATGTTCCACCAAACTCAGCTCTTAACTGACCAGTTTAATGAAATTAGGAATACATTCATGCTGACACAGTGAAACATAAAGTCAAAATTTAGGAAAGGTCAAAGAGTTGATTACTTTAAAACCAGTAACGTTTACCAGCATAATTTCTTAAAGCGAATATAAGTGTTTTTTTTAAAAAGACTTATTTTCTTTTTTATGTATGAGTGCTTTGCCTGCATGTGTGTATGTGCACTGTGCATGTCTGGAGCTGGAGGAAGTCAGAAGGTATTGAATCCCTTGAGACTGGAGTTACAGATGGTTGTGAGCTGCCATGTGGAATCAAAACCAGGTCCTCTGGAAGAGCAGCCAATGTTCTTAAGTGCTGAGCCGTCTCTCCAGCCCCTACCAGTATAATTTTTATAATAATGTTAAGCATGTAAAAAGCAATTTATCTTTAATAAATTCATTTGGAAAGAAAAATTAAAAAGCATACTCTAAAAACTATGCCAAGGATCTTGAGTGTTCGTAAGAAAATATTTACTTAAAATCCAGGGGGGCAAAAAAAAAACTATACACTAGGATTATAGGATGGGTGGCATTTTGTTGCTGTTCTCTTGTTTTTGAAACATAAAAATGTAACTCTCAGGATCACAAAAGGAAAACAAGAATAGCTGATGCAGATCAGGCAGTGAGCATGCTCAGTGACACCAGCCCCTACAGTGATGCGACACTCCTCTGTCTGCACTAACTTCCTTCATCTGAAGACCTGTCTATGGTGATATTTTATTTGTGCTGAAATGGGATTTTATTTGTATGTTAATAAATAAAGTTACCTGGGGGTCAGAGCTAATAGCAAGCCACAGCAGAAGTCTGGCAGTGGTAGCACATATCCTTAATCCAATCACATGACAGGCAGATCTCTGTGTGTTCAAGGATACCACCAGCACGGAGACATACGCCTTTAATCTCATTACAACCATAGAAGACCTGGAGGTCTGTATAGACAGGCAGTGACGAGGTCACGTGGTCGGGTTTACAACCAATGAGAAGGCAGAACAGAAAGTCAATAAAGACAGATACACAGGAAGTAGGTCTCTTTCTCAGGGGAAGGACAGCAGCTTGTGGTAAGAAGGCAGTTTTAGTGTCAGCTCTTAGCTACTGCTCTGACCTCTTGGGCTTTTAACTCTGCATTTGGCTCTGTGTTTCTTATTTAATAAGACCGTTACGTCTACACCTGTCTCTATCCATGTCTGCCTGGAATGCTCTCCTAGGCAAGTCTCACTGAACTGCTGGGTATAGCAGCTCCTTGTCCAGTTCTGTCCCTCCTCCTCACAACAAACTTTTAGAACTCTAGCACATGGCACATGTAAATAGGAACAGAAGATACACAGTGAAGTTGAGGCCACTCTGGGCTATGACTTGCCTCAAAAACGAAAATCAAATAATCAGTGTGGAATCTGTACTTTCTGATTCTCAGTAGCAGTTTATTTTGCCCTCCTTAGTTCTACTTGAAGGATACAAAAGAAAAGGCCACAGAGAAGCCACAGGATTGATCAATCTTTATTAAATGCCTAAGACTCTGAGTCTTCTTTACCACAAACAGCATCCATTATTACCTGAAAAAAGATCTAAAACATAATAAGCTGCTCTCTACTGGACCCTTAACATTAAGGAAGGGTGGGGTTGGGGGACGAGCACTCACCTGCTGTGAAATAATCCTTTTGCATACTGTGAAGATGTTTTACTCTCATTGGTTTAATAAAGAGCTAACTGGCCAATAGTAAGTCAGAAAGAAGTTGGGGGGAGAGCCAGACTGAAAAAATACTAAGAAGGAAGGCGGAATCACCAGCCAGATGCAGAGGAAGCAGGAGATGAACATGCTGTGCTGAAAAAGGTACCACCATGTGGTAGAGCGTAGATAAGAAATATGGGTTAATTTAAGTTGAAAGAGCTAGTTAGTAACAAGCCTAAGCTATCAGTTGAGAATTTATAACTAATAATAAGTCTCTGTGTGGTTATTTGGGAGCTGGCTGGTGGGACAGAGAAGTCCACCTACAAATGGTGCTTAAAGTCTGGCAACATAGATCCACATAAAATCTGAGAAAGCTTAAGAAAAGGTTCCAAACACACAAAATGAGGCCAAACATTGCTTCCTAGTCTCACAGTCTTATGCCAGCCCCAGTACAGAAACAAGTCTCCCAGCAGCTGCCTGCGGGATGGAGCCAGATGCTAGCACCATACACTAAGCTGGGCTGCGCCAGCAGCTGACATTGTAGCTTAAGATTCGTCTCATGTGATCAGAGAACACAACAGATGCTCAAAAGACAGATCCAGGCAAAAGAAACCTCTAAACAGGTTACAGTGCATTTAAAAATGTACACAGGCTTGAGAAGGAAAGGAGAAAGGATATAGACAGAGAAAAAAGAATGGTTAAAAATAATAAAATCCTTAAAAAAGGAATAAAGTAATACAAAAGAAAAAAAAACACATAAAGATGGAAAATACACAGGAGTCTGGATCCTGTATGTTATTATGTTGCCTTTGAATTCTTCAATTGCTGATGAACAAACTACAGCTGCTGAGAGACATTGATTGTGAAGGCTGCTGGATTAAACCGGCCTATGTATTTTAAAAGTGTCTTGACTTCAAAATGGAAGTCAAAAGACGTGTTGCTCTGGGGAAGAGGTGGTGTTTTTGTTCCCCCAGAAAATGAAAGGCTGTGATTTGTTCAGGTTAAAGATGATCAGGTTTGACTGAGGAAGACCCCCTGAAAATTCTGGCTACAGACATAAAGAAATAAACCTAGAAAAACTAGAAGACACGTAACATGTATTTCACCTACTCAAACATAAAACAAAAATAATATCTTTGGCTAACTTGTGAACAACACACAGTCCACACTTATATTAATGCAGATGTGTATGTTACCTTTAAAAGTTTATGTATTTTCAGAGCAAGGGGACCAGACAGCAATAACAACGGGTGGCCCAGGTGATCCAACATCTCAGAGCACCTCTGCTGCAGTTTCCTCAGAATTCCACATCCAGAACAGCTTCAAGGCTGCTGGCTGAGATGATGTGGCCTCATAGACTAATCCAGCCAAGACTAACCATTGTCTTTATTTTCTCAAGGTTCCCCCAAAGATGCCAGTGCCCCCAAACAGTAGGAAGCAGTCTAGAGAAAACTATGCCCACACTCTCAAAAGATGGATTATGGATGTTTGTCATCATTTAGGGGAGATTGGTTATAAGTTGTTACTGATCATGGACCAAAAAGGAAAAAAAAAAAAAAAAAAAAAACAACACTAAACAAATGAGTTAGATTCAAGGATCTCTTTCTGAAGGAAAAGGTGGGGGAGGAGATATAGGAATGATTGAAAAAAAAAAGGGTAGATTATTGAATCTACTTTAATCCAAACTAAAACAACTATTAATCTCAAAATATTTTACATGGTATTGTTTTTAGTTTATTGATACAAATTTGAAGGTATTTTTGTTATACTGTATGTATGTTTATACTCTTGCTTAGGGTATTGTGCTTATGCAAGTCATTTTAAAATGTAATGTATAATTAAGAAATGATGTTAGTAGTTAGTCATCTATAATAATCAAACTTATAGTCATGTTAGGTATATTTTCAAGGTTAAAAAGATTTATCTACATAAAGAGATGGTCTTCAAACACTTCAAAGACCTACAGAATGTGGCATTTAAAATGTTCTAATAACCTAAGGCTTTTCATGACAGTGAGACATGTCTGCTCTTGGCAGCACCAATCTACTTTAGAGAAGATTATGGGCATCAAAGAAACTCCACATGGAGTTTACTTTCTTTGTAGCAAAAGCTAGCCATTTGGGGGGGGGGGGGGGGGGGGGGGGGACGACACTGCTCTTGCCTCAAATGCTGACAGTATACTGTCCAAACTGGACCAGCAGGACACAAAGAAAAGCAACTGCTGAACTTTGCCAAGACAGTTCTTCAGAATTCCCTGCTTCACAGGAAAGTCTGTCAGATATTCTAGGCCTATAAGCCAAAGAAAGAAAGATGAGTATCCCAATGTTGCAGAGGAACCTTGGGTTACTGTCCAGGCAGCCAGATGTCCTAGTCCTTAGGTTATATTACTTCCTTCTGGGGTCTTTGATAGAGTTAAAGACTAAAGAGTCAGACTTAATAGTTTTCTTTAGTTATGATAAAAGGTAAAGTACAAACTTTAGACTTACAAAGATAATATTTTCTCTAAATTTGCCAAATACAAATGAACTGAATATTGTAACTAATTCTTACTTGATAACTGTTTTCTTTATATATAGTTTTATTATGTTAAAGTTAAGACCTTCATTCTTAATTAGACAAAAAGGGGAAAATGCTGTGAAATAATCCTTCTATACACTGTGAAGATGTTTTATTCTCATTGGTTTAATAAAGAGCCAACTGTCCAATAACTAGGCAGAAAGAGGTTAGGCAGGAGCGCCAGACTGAAAGAATACTGGGAAGAAGGAGGGCGGAATCACCAGCCAGATGCAGAGGAAGATGAACATGCCCATGCAGAAAAAAGGTACTACCATGTGGTAGAGCGTAGATAAGAAATATGGGTTAATTTAAGTTGAAAGAGCTAGTTAGTAACAAGCCTAAGCTATTGGCTGAAGCTTTATAATTAATATTAAGTCTCTGTGTGGTTATTTGGGAGTGGGCTGGTGGCACAGAAAAGTCCACCTACACCTACCAAGGAGCTTTCTGAGCCCTGAACCAGCCACTTACCTTTAAAAGCTCTAGATTCCCCTCCTTTGCCATGGGCACACCCTTCTTTACTGGATACCCCATTCGAACAGGCAGAGGAACAGCAGAGGGTTTAAATGGCATCGCAACAGGGTAAACACTGGGCCAGTCCTGGTCAACATCCATCTTCTCTGTCCTAGGAGGTAGTGCCTAAGAAACATGAAATACTTAAAATTTTTAAATATAAACATATTCTTTAATTTTAAGACAAAAGCTGTAACTAAGATACACAAAAACTGTAAAACACTGACTTCCAGGCCTGTGAGAAATGGGAAAAGGTGCTTACTGTGCACACCTGGCAACCTAAATTTGACCCTGAGAATCTACAAGGAAAGAACCAAGTTAACAGGGTTGTCCTGACTTCCACACTCCATCTGTGGCGCATACGCCCGTACACTACATACACATATGACAAGTAAAAGACTCATTTCCAACAAATTTGTTGCTTAAGTAAAAAAACACTAACTCAGCATAAATATCTCTGCATAGATGCTTCAAACTATGACAAGCTCTCCATTAATATCACATTTCCTTCACAAGAATTAAACAATATATAAAGCTTATGAAATACGTTTATGAAGTTTATAAAAAGTATTTTAAAATAGTTTTTAAAACCTCAATGATGTAAGTCAACACATGAGGAAATGTAAGAACTTGGAGACAGAGCTGGGGATGTGGCTCAGTTGGCAGAGTGTTGCTTAGCATGCACAAAGCCCTGGATTGGACCCCAGCCACTAGGTATGATGGTACACACCTGTAACACCAGCACCTAGGAGATGATCAGAAGTTCAAGGCCAGGGACTAGAGAGATGGTTCAGCAACTACGAGCACATACAGCCTCTAAGGCCTCCTTGGATACCAGGCACACACGGTACACATACATACATACATACGCGCTAAACGCTCATACACATAAAATAAAGTAAATAAATACTTAAACTTTTAGGTCATACTTCTTACACAGCGAGTTTAAGGCCATCCCGGGCTACAGGAGAGCCTGCCTCAAAAGTAGGAAGAAATAGTGGGGTGGGGCAGTGGGAAGGGACTTGGGAATGAGGGAGGTAAGAGAGTATAAATATTTAGTGGCCGGTGAGACCGCTCAGCAAGTAAGGTGCTGGCCGCAAACCTGACTACTTGGAGTTCAACCCCTGGGGCCCACATAGTAAAGAACTGCCTCCAGTAGTCCTCTGACCTTCATACAGGTACCACAACTCACACATACATACACATTCACAATTTCAAAATTTAATAACATAGAAGAGGCACTCTGTGATAAACTAATCAAAGTTAAACAGATTTAAAAATATAAATGTCTCCAAGCCCGAGGTAAATGACTTGAAAGCTTAGTAAATCACATTAACACACGTGTGTATATTTAAGTGTTACATAGAAGGGGATGGCCTCCATACAAAAAGTAGGGTTTGGGGTTAAAGGCATGGCTCAGTGGCTGAGAGCACTTGCTGTTCATGCAAAGGATCCAAGTTCTGTCCCCAGCACCAACATCAGGTGGCTCACAACGACCCAAAACTCCAGTTCCAGGGAGCTGATGTCCTCTTCTGGCCTGCACAAGCACCAGACATGCATGTGGTGCACATAAACTCACACATACACACACACACAAATACACACGCATAAATAAAAAATAAGTACTTTTCTAAAGTGGGGTTTAGGCCAGCAAAATTTAGTAATGTCCATTAAAATATCAGCATCAGGGTGGTACATGTACAGAGTGAGTAATGCTCCTCTGAAAATTCCTGCTCTACATGACCAATGCTTATCAACTAGCTCTTGTAAAATATTATTTTAAGGTGTGTTACTTTTGTTTATGTTGCATTTGTTTAACTCTGTGAGGCTGTGATACTGTGCCTGTGTAAAACATCTGATGGTCTAATAAAGAACTGAATGGCCAATAGCAAGGCAGGAGAAAGGACAGGAGGGGCTGGCAGGCAGAGAGAATAAATAGAAGAAAAAGAGAGATGGGGGATCAAAACAGAGCCAGAGAAGGGGAGGACATCAGGGGTCAGCCACCCAGGTACACAGCAAGCCACAGAGTAAGAGTAAGATTTACAGATTAAGAGAATGGAGAAAGCCCAGAGGCAAAAGGTAGATGGGATAATTTAAAGTTAAGAAAAGCTGGCTAGTAACCAGCCAAGCTAAGGCTGGCTGTTCATAAGTAATAATAAGCCTCTGTGTGTGAATTTATTTGGGAGATGGGTAGCGGGTCCCCCAAAAGAGAAAAAAACAACCAACAACAACTGGTCTTAAGTCTCAAAGATGCTCAGAGGAGAATAACTGGTGAGAATAATGCTAACTGCAGAAGGCACCATCAGACAGTCTGTACTCAGGCTTTGCATCTGCTTTCTGGGCATGTATGAGTGAGTCTACCTCCTAAAGCTGATGCGTTCTTAGACTAACTACTAACAGGGCTATGACAGTTGCCCAGAGAACTTGAGAAGCCTCCTCTGGCAGTACCCTCAGCCTCAATTTAGGACTTCATAAATCATTAAGATAGAGACAAGTAAAGTAAATACATGTGTACCTTTCTTCTCATTGGCCTTTCACCTCTGGATGCTGGACCTAAAAGACAAAAATATATAATGTAGCATTGTTCAAAATCACTGGCCTGCAGTTCTAACACAACTTAAGGCATTTACCAACATGAAAACGGAACGATAACCTATTTTCTTCAAGTTTAAAACAGAAAGTGGGAACAAAAAAATTCCATGGCAATGATACAGAGAACTCATCATCTAGAGAAATACCGCCTTCCCTTTACGTGAGAGGGTCTTACACTGCAGTCCAGGCTAGTCCTTAACTTGTTGCAATCCTTCTGCTTCAGTCTCCCAAGAGCTGAGATTATAAGAGTACAACATCCACACTCAGCTAACAAAATACTTGCACTAATTTTAAAGTTTGTAGCACAGTAGGTTCATGTTCTCAAATTAAAATACTTAGTATTTGAATCTTTAAAGGTAACTGATTTGAAATGTCCAATGACAAAAATTACTAATAACAAACTCATGAACAGAACACTTAAGTCACAGGACTGTAGAAGATGATTCCTCACATACCAAAAGTACTTTTAACACAGCTTATTTTATGCATGCCGTAATGAATGCTTTGCTGTAGAAATAGCTACATTACTAAGTACTTTTACATGTACAGTCTACGCTAGACTACTCATTATCACTTCATTTAGTCTTTCTTATTATTTCAAATACAAATATCATTATTGTCCTTTTAAAGGCCACTTATATTCAAGAAAACCAAAAACAAGAAATGAAGGTCACTGCAGCACAGCATATAAGATTCCTCATGGTCTGGTCCACTGTCTCTGGTCTCACCTATGAGAGCTCCACAGCTGCAATGTGCTTCCCAGGCCTTTCAGTCGATCTCTCAACTCGGTTCTCTGCTTGGACCACGCCTCCCTCCCATGATCCTGGCTCTTCCCTTTCCCTCTTTTCTTCATCAGACATATTTCTATTCATCCCACAATGCTCATTCTTTCAAAAATTAATTGCTACTATTTATCACAAACTAGGAACACAGTAATGCATACAATACAGCTTCTGCTCTCAATATTGTTGCTAGCCTGCGGACGGTCTGGGCCCCACTGCCGACACCTGTGTTGCTGGCCTGCAAACGGTCTGTCATGGGATGTCTCCATCTCTGTCACAAGATGTTAAGTCTTCTATGGAATCCCTTTTCAGTTTATACATTTATTCTAATTAGGGTTTCTATTGCTGCAATCAAACACCAGGAAATCAAACACCAAAAAGCAACTTGGGGAGAAAGTTTATTTGGCTTACACTTCCACATCATAGTTCATCATTGAAAGAAACCAGGACAGGAACTCAAACAAGGCAGGTACCTGGAGGCAGGAGCTGATGCAGAGGCCATAGAGGAGTGCTGCTTACTGGCTTGCTCCTCATGACTTGCTCAGCCTGCTTTCTTATAGAACCCAGGACCATCAGTCCAGGGGTGGCATCACCTACAATGGGCTGGGCCCTCCCCCATTAATCACTAATTAAGAAAATGCCCTACAGCTGGATCTTATGGAGACATTTTCCCAATTGAGATTCTTCCCTTTCAGATGACTCTATCTTGTATCAAGCCGATATAAAACTAGCCAGGAAAATTCACTCCTTGTGAACTTGACACACAAACATATCACTGTTAAGTCATAACTTTTCCTTTCTAGTTCATTCCCCAAACCACATATTAACATCAAAATCACAATACAAAACAATATACAAACTTTCCAAGTTCCACAGCCTTTACAAATTAAAAAACACTTTAAAATTCAGTCTCTTTGAAAATCCAAAGTCTCTTTTAAAACCTAAAATCTCAGTCTCTCAGCTGTGGGCTCCTGTAAAATCAAAAGCAAGTACTTTCTTACTTGAAGAGGGAAGAACCAGGGCACAGTTACAACCTAAACAAAGCAAAACCAAACTCCAAAATTATAAACAACTCAATGTTCAGTTATATGTGATTCACTCATGATCTTCTGGACTCCTCCAGTGGATGGGGTCACTTCTCTGGCTCCGCCCTCTGCAGCACAGACAGACTGTCTTCTAGGCTCAGGCCGGCCCCACCCCACACCGGCTGCTGCTTCTGGTGGCCATCCCATGGTACCAGCATCTCGAAGTGTTAGGCTGCACTTTTACCCATAGCCTCTCCTGGGCTCTCTTCATGGAGCAAAGACCCCTCCAATCTTGGGCTTCCATTGCTACTCCAGCTGTACCTTCAATGGCCTCTCTTGGCCTGTCACGGTGCCAGCCCTCTGCTGCTTTTCATGACCTCTCCATGCCTTCAAAACCAGTAGCACCTGAGGGACTCTTACATTACAAGTTCAGCTGCCAAGGGAGGTACACCTTGGCCGCCTCTGGAGCACAGCTTTTGTGTGTTGACTCTTGGGAAACACCTCCCAGAAGATTTCACCTCAATGATGCCAGTCTCTTCTGAATGACTGCTAATTTCTCAGGGCCAGCTAATTAGCATCAATTGTTTCAGTAAAACAAAGGCTTTACTTCAGTTGTTCTGGTCTCTTGGTGGTTGTTTTTTGTTTTGGTTTGATTTTTTGTTTGTTTTTGTGGTTTCTCGAGATAGGGTTTCTCTGTGTAACAGTCCTGGCATCTGCTTTGTAGACCAGGCTCTCCCACTCACAGAGATCCACCTGCCTCTGCCTCCCAAGTCCTGGGATTAAAGGCGTGGGCCACCACTGCCCCTCGTTCTGGTCAGCTCCAGCAGACCGGATACCACAGATTCTTGACACAAATGGCCCAGTAGAGTCATTGCTTCCCTCTGAAAATTCACAAGCCAGGGCTCCACCTTCTACACTGCTCTCACCATTCTTATCTTCAAAGCTCTGACAGAACAGCCCACTGAGCTCTCAACACTCAATGGCTCTTCTAACCCAACGTTCCAAAGTCCTTCCACAATCCTCCCTAAAACATGGTCAAATCTGTCACCGCAATACCCTATGCCCATCCATCCACTCCACAGGTTCGTTCTTTCTGGAGAACACCAATGATAAGGTGGGCAATATCTCCAGAGGACACACACTTTAAGCTAAAGCTTGAGGGCTAGTGGGAAGCAGCCATGAAAACAGGCTGGTGAGAAAATGTCTGAAGACAGCAGAGAATGCTTCAGCAACCCATACAGCAAAACTGGATCAATGCAGAGGTTAGCATTGCCCTGCATAAGAATGACAGGCAGATTCAGGAAGGAGTCCATATTTTTATAACTTTGTAACATTTCATTCTTTGGGTTTTAGAAAAATAAACTTTTAAGACAGTACTTGCCTCTCAACTAGACTATATAACACTGATTATACATTTTATTCTCCTTGCTGAGAATCTATAGCTTGGATGTTTTCATCCAGAAAAACTCCAAATCAGGTCAAGGTAGGAATTCCACTCCGAGCTAGTGGATGATGTGAGAAGAGTTCTAGGAACCCCAGATGCTCGGTACCTGAGCTCTCACTAGGCACAGCCCATGGTCCTACAGTGGACTGGGGGCATTGAATTTCTCAGAGAACTCCTCTTCCTATGATGGAACTAGGAGTACTCCTACATCCTGAAGAGATACCCCTTGGTCAGAAGGTAAAGAGCTGTGGACAAACATTTAAGAAAGCACGAACTTCATAGTGGTAACGCTTAGTCACTGCTATGAGGAGACACTGTATGGCCCTTTTATGATACTACTCATATTTAGACTGAATCCACAAAGCAATGAGCATCATTCCTTCTTCATTGATGCAGGTTAGGAATACCTGGAGCATCACACTGAGTCCTTCACACCCCAAGACACTTACTACTGAGAAGCAGGAATAATGCTAAGCACCTGGCCACGTCTGCATTTAGTCCACAGCACCAAATGCCCCTTTTTATCTGACCTGGTGCTGTAGAATAGCTTCCCTGTTAGAAAGAGAGAGCACAGAATGTGGAAACAAGTAAACTCAAACTCAGTGTGGCTGACACTGAAAAAGGAACAGACAACTGAAAAGAAGAGCCAAGCTATCTAATGTGCTGCAATGACAAGGCAGGCTTGGCCTTGACTTCCTTCTTCTTTTCAATCCCTGTAGGTGGTACTGACACTCATCCAATGGCTCAGGCAAAGATCGACCCGGCTTCCTTGAGATACACCCCTCAAGGCTCACATCAAATCCATCAATAAATCCTACTGGCTTTCCCTTCAAAATACATCCTACAAACCAAACCACCTGCATTATTACCGTCCTCTCATTTAGAACACCAGCAGCCTCCACACTGGTCTTGCAGTCTACCCCAATGAAGTGAGTTCACCACACAGCTGCCAGTGACCTTTTACAAGTAGACGTTTTATGTCTGCTCTAGTGTGACCCCTCCACTTCTAACAAAATCCAAGCCCAAATCAAAACCAAATGCCTCCGGACCCTTAAAATTCAGACCATCACTCTAATTCTTGGGCTACCACTTGCCCCGTTGCTCACACGGCAGGTCAGGTGGGCCCTCCTCCTCTTCCTTCACATGACTGTTCAAATGTCTTTTCCTCTGAGGTCTCTCCTCACCACCTTATCCTACCTGGTGAGCCGCTTCTTCAACAGCACATCAGTCTCAATATTCTGCTTTCTTATTCTTCATAACAATAAATTTTATGGTAACTGTTTACTTGTGTACACGCTGAGTGTGAACTTCACTAGTATGCCAGACTCTGCAACTCTGCCTAGCACATTTCCATTTATGAGAATAAAAGAATGAAAATCTGGAGATGGACACATCTTAAGTATTAAGGAATCTGTAACTTATCCAAAAACCATCTGTGGGTAGATTTTCAACAAGGTTTGCTGTGAAAGGGCCTTCAGGAGAGCAAGAGCGGAAGGATGAAGGCGTGGGCAGGCCCTGCAGGAGAGGGAGCTGGGGAAGGGGTCCGGGGGCTGCAGGTGTCCGCTCCCGGGTGAGCCTCTCCGGTGACCCACTCGTGCACGCAGCTCCCGTCGCTGCACTCACTCTAGCCCCACGTCTGCATGGCCTCTCACACTGCGGTGCTCCCCGCCCCCCGGGCCCTGGCGGGTCACCCCGTCCGGGCACAGCGGCCGGCCTCAGAGAACGCTCGCCCGTGGGTCGCGCCGTGCACACGGGGCTGAGGAACGACAGGAGGAAGGTCACGGGGCGCGCGCCCTCCCCTCTCCCCAGCCCGCGGCGGCGCACCCACACTCACGCGGGCCGGCTCCCGAGTCCGCGGGCCTGGCCGCTGAGGCGAAGGTGCGCAGGGCGCGCGCCCCCGGGCACAGGATCTGCCTCAGCTGCAGCGCCGCGACCGCCATGGCTGAAGACCGGCGGGCCGGAGGGGAAACACGCCGCCGGGATGGGGCGGGGACCGGAAGTGCGTAGACGTGGGAACGGAAGTGCGCTAGGCAAAGGGCTGGCGGAGCTATGGCTCCCGGAGGGCTGGTGTGGAGTGGGTGGCGTCTCTGACCCACAAGTCTCGCAGTCTCCGTGTACTGTTCTGTTTGTTTGACTTTTTTAAACAATGGCTGCTCTAAGACATTTTCCTCCTTTCCTTTTTATTTATGCATCTTATGTATATTGGTGTTGCCTGCATTGCCTGCATAGCTCAGCATCATGTGCCTGCCTTGCCCACAGCGGCCAGCAGAGGGCATGGAATTAGAGCAGTTGTGAGCTTTTTTTGTGGTTGCTGGAAATTGAACCTGGTCACCTGGAAGAGCAGCCTCTGCTTAACCGATGGGCTTCCTCTTCAGCCCCATTTTTTTCTTCCATTTCCTTCCTTTCTTCCTTCCTTTCGTTCTTTGATTCTTTCGTTCGTTCGTTCCTTTTTCCTTTTTCTTTTCAATCATCCTGCCCCAGTCTTCCAAGTGCTGGGATTATAGGTATGGGGCATAACATCTAGCTTTACATTTTATATATTTTTTAATTACGTGTGTGTGTGTGTGTGTGTGTGTGTGTGTGTGTGTGTGTGTAGACCCACACTAGTAAGAGAACAGTTTAAGGGAATTGGTTCTTTGGTTCTCTCCCTTCACCACCCAGGTTCTGGGATCCCAACTCTAGTGGTAAGGCTTACCGCTTTATTATTTGACCAGCCCTTACACTTCTTAAATGACAGCAAGTTTTCAAGCATAGTAAGTAACAAGCAGCTGGCCGGGAGGGGCAAGGGCATGGCTGCATCCCCCAGCAGTTTAAAGGAATGGCCTTCTGAACTAGATTGTTTGAATTTAGATTTTTGACCTGTCTTTTCATGTATTATTCCTGCAGAGCTGGATTCCTAGCACCGATGTGGAAAGGCTCACAACCTCTGGTAACTCCAGCTTCAGGGGATCTGGCTTCCATGGACACACACACACATTCACACACACACACACCACAATCAAAAATAATCTTTACAAGAAGTAACCCCTTTATAACATCAGTAGGCAAAGATATTTTATAGTGTAAAGCATGTATTAGTTTGCCAGTAGAAGTTTCTAAACTCTATGTAATTTTTTTACTTGGAAAGGATTTTGGAGGTACAATACCTCATCCACAATAAAAAAATACCTTCTCAACCTTTTAAACTAAATAATTTAAAATGTTACAAAGGCCAGGAAAAGGCCTTTGGGACATATGATTTGCATTTAGAGGGTCCTGTGCTTAGTTTAATTCCCCTCTCCTGCTGACTTAAAGTTCATATCAAGTTCTGAAAGGGGGCTACACATTTTCAGTTTTCATTGATCCCTACAGATTACATAGGTAATTCTGAGTAGAACAACTTGAACTACTAAGGCTTCTTTGTTTGTTTGTTTGTTTGTTTTTCAAGACAGGGTTTCTCTGTGTAGCTTTGTGCCTTTCCTGGAACTTGCTTTGGAGACCAGGCCTTCTTTTCTTTTTTTTTTTTTTTTTTTTTGGTTTTTCGAGACAGGGTTTCTCTATGAACAGTCCTGGCTGTCCTGGAACTCACTCTGTAGACCAGGCTGGCCTCGAACTCAGAGATCCACCTGCCTCTGCCTCCCAAGTGCTGGGATTAAAGGCGTGAGCCACCACCGCCCGGCTCAGGCCTTCTTTTCAAATGGTCTTTTACTTCTTTTAAAGCCTAGGTTGATATGAGAGATAACTTTTAATAAAAACTAAGTTCTTTATAAAAAGTATGTGAACAAAGTACATCCATTTCCAAGTATAGTGCAAATATCCACGCAGCCTGTTCAGCCACCAGGACAGCATTGGTTACTTCATGTGATAGAGGGAGCTACTAAAGAAAACATGGATGGTGATGGGGGACTGGGGAGATGGCTTAGCAATTCAGAACAGTGACTGCACTTCCAGAGGACACTTTTGATTCCCAGCATCCATATAGTGGTGCACAGCCATCTGTAATTCATTACAACACCCTTTACTGGTTTCCATAGGCACCAGGCATGCATGGTGTGCATATGCACACATGCAGGCAAAACACCCATGCATATAAAACAAATAAATAAGCAAATAAATAAACTTAAAAAGAAAAAGTGGGTCTCAACTGGGCATCGTGGCACACACCTTTAACCCCAGCACTCAGAAGGCAGAGGCAGGTGGATCTCTGTATATTGAAGGCCAGCCTGGTCTACAGAGTGAATTCCAAGTCAGCCAGTGATGCACAGTGAGACCATGTCTCAAAAGGGAAAAAAAGAAAACATGGGTCTCAATCTTGGTTGAACATTAAAACTACCTTAAGAGATTTAAAATATATGTCTTAGCCTCCTCACTCTGTGTTTGTCTATTAGTCTAGGTGTCTTTTGAGCATTACTTTTTAGCGTTATTTGTGTTTGTATGTTTTTTAATTTAAAAAGCTTGTGTGCACACATGTGCACATCATTCATGTGGTCAGAATTAGTTCTCTCCTTCCACCTTTTGAGTCCCAGGTATTGAACTCAGGTGGTCAGACTTGGAAGTAAGGCCCCTTACCACTGATTCATCTTGCCAGCCCTATTTCTGGTGGTTCTTTTTTTTTTGGAGGGGACCCAGAATTTCAGAGTTTGAGGCAGAAGGATTCCAAGTTCAAAGCCAGACTAGGCTACATCTGTGAATAAACCTATCCATTTATACTACCCCCCATTTTTTTTTTAAAGGAACATGCTCATTGGATACAAGGCAAAAGCAGTTGTATATTCTATGGTGTTGAGTATGGTACGGTAATGGTAGTACCTTCTCTTCTCAATGCTGTGACAAAATGCTTGACTTAAGGAAGAAGGGGGTATTTTAGCTCACCGTCTGAGTGCGTCATGGCAACAGGAATCTGAGGCTATTGATGAGCAGCCTCCCCAGTCAGAAAGCAGTCATGAATGCTGGTGCTCAGCTCTCTTTCTCCTTTTTATTCAATCTAAGGCCCCCAGGCCATGGGATGGTGCTGCCCACGTTCACCATAGTTCTTCCAAACTCCCAGCCACATCCAGAAGTGTATTCCCTTAAAAATTCTAAATCCAGCTAAGTTAACTATTTGTGGTTAACCATCACAAATACCATGCCACCGGAGGGAGAAGTGAAGCTATCAGCATTCCCTATTCCTTAATGTTCATTTTTTGCAGTGCTGGGAGATGAAGGCCTTTTGTACATTAGGCAAGCAATCTACCACTGAGCTTTATCCTCAGCCCTATCTTACTTTGTTTAAAGTTAAATTGATAAGTAATCGTGTGTATTGCCACTCGTTTACTGCAATATTAAACACTGCATCTCATTCCAATTTCCAGAATACGACTGGCTTCTAGTTCTTCCTCACTCTAACTTCCTTAAGGAGAGGGCTTCAGCTGAATACATGTTTCAAGGATGGAAAAGAAAGGTGAAAAGGCTGTGTGCTCATTTCTTCCCTGAAGCAAAAAGGTGCCACAGGGATTACAAAACTTTTCCCTGGCTTTCCCCAGGACTTGCCTGAGTGACCACTCCTAACAGGAAGGGCTTAGGGGCCACTGTTTCTTAAACTTGCAAGGTGCATTCACATTTGAACACAAGGCTCAGTGGCTAGAACACAAGAGCGGGCTCTGTAGGCTTTGCCCATACTGAAGTAACATCTGTCTGTGTTCTCTGCACATCCTGTGTGCTAGGCAGGAGAGAGACTCAGTGGGGCTAGATTAGTGCTAAACACCAAAGACTCTGGATTTCAGATCATCAATAGCAGCATTACAAAATAAGGAGTTGTCATCTTTGGGTTTTTTGTTTGGTTTGGTTTGGTTTTTTCGACAAAGGGTTTCTCAGTGTAGCTTTGGAGCCTGTCCTGGAACTCGCTTTGTAGACCAGGCTGGCCTCGAACTCACAGAGATCCGCCAGCCTCTGCCTCCTGAGTGCTGGGATTAAAGGTATGTACCACCACCACCCAGCCCCATCTTTGTTTTGCTATGAATTTGTGGGAATTTTCCCACCTCAGCCTCCCAAGTACAGGTATGGGTCACATCCTTCCCACTCCCTTCATCCTTAACCTTTGAATGGAAAAACCAGAAGGCATTAAGATTCTAGAAGAAATCAAATGGCACATCTCAGAAGTTTAACAGAAAAAAAGACATTTATACAGTGGGGTGGAGGCAGGAATGGGACAAAGCAAAAAGGATCACCAAAGTACCCTGGGAAGTGACAATGGCCTGTTGAGAAGGATGGAGTCAGAGGAAGGCCGATTAGATAGGCACTGTTGGCAACCCACTGGATATTTATAACTGGACGCCCGAGTCCCAGAATAGGGTGGAAAGGGCTGAAGTCAATGAGGGAGAAACATGCAACTTGAGAAAATCCAGCTCACAGATTGAGTAACAGCTCATGCCTTGGGAATTACATACATCTTTGATTTGACAAATAGAAACAAATATCTACTTCTTATTAGAGCCTGATGCACAAATTATGAAAATATATTCAAATCAGTGGGCCCAACATGAGGTTCAATAAATAGTGGCCATTATTCCTTGTAATGTTAAGCCTAGATAGACTTTTAAGCAAAAATGACTGTTCTGTTTGAAAACACATTCCTTATTGTAATTACAGATATTGTAACAAGGAATTCTTTCACAGATGACATAGTAGATCATGGGTGAAGCTAACACTCAATCGGATCCTAAGTTAAATCCTTTGAAAGTCCTTTATGTGCAGAGTTGCTGGGAAGGAGCGTGAGTGGAGGTGAGGCTCAGAGGACCAGCCGTGGGAAGACTGGGGCATCCCAAATGTCCTTACACCTGCTCAGTAGTTGCTCTCCCAACAATAGCAATAACATTTTATGCTTGTGACTATAAGACTAGTTCAAAGACAACTTCTGTTTTGCAAATCAAATTTTATGTATAACTTTATCATTTTCTCCCCCACTTTTTTATTTTTGAATAAACAAAGACTAAGTTTCCCCAAACACAGCTAGAGGGTTTTTTCCTTTCCATAATTGTGACACTAACAAGTTTTGACCCAAGTAATCACTTTCAGTCAAGGTGGGGGGCTAACCCCATCCTGCGGATTTTGTTTTTCTGTTTTATCTTACATACCAGTCACAGCAATATGTCCAGTTTAGAGAATGCTAATATAAACCTTGCCCATGTCACTCAGCCCATCTCTTTTACTCAGACAGTTTCCCAGCAGCTCCTTGATGGAGACACAATCTTCCGTCTCCAGCACAAACTGTTCCACAGCCTTCCGTCCTGACAGATGGCTCTCCACCATCCCATTTGTGACACTCTCCAGAACAACACCTCTGATGGCTTTAGTCTTTCCAGGCACACTGAAGACGATAAACAGGCCCAAACAGTCCTCTCCCACCAAGTTACAGAACTCTGCCAGCTTATCAAATCTGCCTTTTTTCCAAGACTCCTCTCCCCTTGACTCACAGGACTTTGGGTCCCTCAGAGGAAGAGGAGAAGCCATCCTCAAGGTCTGCACAGCCACCTGAAGCCGTATTTGCTTCTCAGGTCCCCAGAAGGTCCAAATCCAGTCTGCACCAAACAGCAAGGCCTGGTGCTTGGTCATCTTGGTGGTGGTGAGCCACTCATCGGCCCCCCTTTCCTGGCAGAAAGCGATGAAGTGGACGAGGAAGATCTCACTCAGTGTACTTGCTGCAAGGCCGAGTCTGCTCAGAGGGTACTCAAACCCCAGGTACTCCTTCACCTTCTGTGCTGCGTGGGCAACAGCTGCACTGACCACCTCACACATGGCCAGAACCTCCTGGCTGGCCTTTGGAGCCACCTGCTGTGAGACCTTTTGCCCCATGGTCCCCCCGCACCAGTAGATGCTCCTCTTAGCTACCAGACATGTGACTGTCACCGGGAATTGCTTCTTTTTCAGAGGAGATCTCCTTCATCGAAGCCAAGTCTGTTAAGACTGTCACCAGCTTCCTAATGTCACAGCTTCTTTGGTGTGGCTAGCCATACAGACCTGGCTGGACAAACATGTGAGGGAGGGCTTCCTGTTTGTTAACTGGGTGTGTGGTGCTCAAACAGATTCCTGCTGCCTGTCAAATGACAGATGACAATTTCACACAGAACACCTGTTCCTCTCCACGTTATGGACAAGCTACTTCTGATCTTTGATAAACTCTTCCTAGATGTGGTTCCTTTGTCCAAAAAATAGTCAAATGAAAACCAGTAGGTGAGTGTACAGGTTAGAGTCGTACAGCCTTTTACTCCACACAGTATCTCCAAGTTTGCACGCCACTTCTGCCTGACCCTTCATTCCAAGTATGTTTCTCATGTTTCCTTTTATAGATACTTAAGGAGAGATCTCAATTTGTTTGTGATTCATGCTGTGAACTCAACTCAAACAAACATATGCAAGTCTACATACAAGAGCCCGTTTTTCTACCAGAAGCCAAGGCTTTGCTATTCTGAACAAAGTAATATTAAATAATGACAATTTAAAACACAAGGCAATTATCAATTGACTTTATTTCCTTTCATAAGGTAATGCCAACAGTGCATAATACTTTTGTAAATAAAATATATAATCAAAAGTTTTTAACTTTATCACATATCATCAGTTGTTACATTGTCCTTAATAAAGAATATTTGGCATCTGTTAACAGTCTGCTGATATTTTCAACCAGATTCTAATATCAAATTGAGCTTTCCAAATGGTGATATTTATTCATATTTAACTAAAACCCGAATACAGGAAGAAGCCAATATAGTCATCAAATCATGAATGGGAGCATTCAAAGGAACTCACTGTTAGCATCAGATAATTTTAGTTAGAAATAATGAACAGGTGGTGGTGACGCATACCTTTAATCCCAGCACTCGGGAGGCAGAGGCAGGTGGATCTCTCTGAGTTCAAGGCCAGCCTGGTCTATAGAGGAGTTCCAGGACAGGCTCCAAAGCTACACAGAGAAATCCTGTCTCAAAAAACCAAAGAAAGAAAGAAAGAGCAGTGTTACAAGCTTCACAATGAACAGCTTCATAACCTGCTGAGCATATAAAAGGAATACAGCTGACATTTAGAAATGGTTATCACCAAGTCTATTACCATAGACTGAACTGCCCACCTGTACCCCAGTGTGTGAGCTTCTGTCTGTAGACAGTGTGTGTAGCCCTGAATGAAAAACAGATTGTCTCCAACACTGCTAAAAACACACATATACACATGCCACAGGAACAGCTGCTTTCAGCTTTCTATGTTCTTTACAAAGGGCTTTTGGGCCTTGTATTACAGAAAACATGAGCAATATGCTATTGGACAGAAAAACCATTAGAAAGTATTCTGCAGCTTCAGAGTATTTGGATCCTGATTGAAATAACATGAAGCCCCATCAGTTGACACTCGACATGGCTAGGCAGACTCCTTAGTTCAATGTAATGGTACATTTAGCAAAGAAGAAAATAAGAAACTTAACATGTAAGGGTTCTGTTTTGGTTTTTTCCAAAGTCATTCTAACAAAAACTTTTCTGAGGGGAATATGAGTGCATCCAAAGGATCCATTATAAAGCCAATGGAGTCAAAATTCAAGCTGAAGCTTCTAAGCTGCTCTGCAATTTTGTGGGAATCAAAGAAGTAAAAGTCTGAATGACTGTTAAAATTTATCAATGGAGGGAAAAAGAGGACTCTGATATCTTCAGGAATCAGCTGGTATATAAAAATTGAGAACACTGGGTTTCTTTGTTTTTAATATGACCTTTTGATTCTTGTGTCACAAAATAAAAGTTCTGTTTTCTATATACTGTATATATACACATATTTAGAAAAATATATAAAAATAAGACAGTCAGAGGCAAGTGGAGGTGCAGCTGGCATTTAGCGGCACCAAATGTGGTGAGCACTTGGATCTGGAGAGCAGCATGTTCAGTTTAGACGGCTGCCGTGAACACTGATGTGGCCAAACCCTCCATCCTGGTTGTGAATGTAGCACTCTGGTAAAATACCCAACCTTGAATACGACACTTTAAATAGAATATATCACAGACTTTACATTAAATAGAGGCAGAGCAAGCATACTTCCGTTCACCAGTGTCTCATTTTTCTCAGCATCTTCAGAATTGGCACCGTTCCCCTGCACTACAGTTCCACTTCTGAGTGAGCAGAAGTCGGAACAATAAACAATGCACAACCTGTCACCTGTTGTACATGCTATTTGAAAAACAACTGGAAAATGACACCCGTGCTCCTGGTACTCGCCCAGGTGCTCTGTCAAACGTTGGAGTCTTCATCTGTGATGCTGGCACTGGGGGAGCGGGCAGCAAAATCTTTAAACATGTCGTCTTCCTTTAACATGTGCTAGAAAACAAGGACAGCAAGTTATACACTGAGTCCTGAGCTCGGCACCACACACCTGCCAACAGGATACTTTTAGACTAACATTTTCAACTTACCGTGAGATTGTTGATGCCTTCGGAAAATGCACCTATCTGTCTCACTGTCCCTTCTGAATCTTCCATCTGTCAAGAACAAGCCATAATGTGACAAAGTCATTTGTACAATTCCAAAATTGCAGACGAATGAATGAAAGTACAAAGAACGTAAGTGGCACCGAATGCAGCAGGGGCAGCAGGGGCAGCAGGGGCAGCAGGGGCAGCAGGGCTTCTGTGCCTCAGCTTCCCCTGGAAACACTTTCAAAGTCTTAAGTCAGTGCCAACAAGGAAGCACGCCAAGTGCTCAGGACAGTACCAGGAAGTAGCAGCAAGCTGTAGGTACTCAGAATACTTTGCTATTTTTATTTCCAGGCATGTGAAGACAGCAAACTCCATGAGGGACAGTGTGCACAGCTTCCGTGGCATGTCTGAGGGCTTACCTGCTCTAACCGATCTAAATCATCCTCTTCATACAGGCGCATGTCCAAGCCAGCTCTCAACCCCTTCTGGGAGCTACTCCCCGATGCCTGGCCCAGGTCCATTGGACAAACATATTCCTCTCCGTCTTCATGCTTCTTCTTCCTCAGATTCCCAAAGTTGCTAAAGGTCAGTTTCTTTGGCTTTAAAACAAAACAAAAAGACACCCAGAAATTTGATAAAACTCCTATGACAAAGGACTAATAACATGTATAAGTTAATTATTCACTTCATCTCACAAAGGAAACAACTTGGATGATCAAATGATCACAAGAAGACCAGAAGTATCCTGGACACACAAGCAATGCATAAATGATCTTGGTATAACTCTCAAAAGGTGCATCTCACTGTTATGCCACAGGCTGGACATGTCAAAATCCTTTTGAACTTCACACAATAGACTGCCTCTCAGGGATGAGTCAAATTTTGCAGGGCTATTTAGTCTAAGATCAGTAAAGGACAGTGGCCCTAACTGGTCTAGCGGCACAGGCCTGCCGGCAGTCACAGCTACTTGGGAGCTGAGGCAGGAGAATCACAGGTTTCATGCCTGCCTGGGCAACTTAATAAGAGCCTGACTCAAAATTAAAAAAAAAAAAAATTAAAAGGAGGGGGCAGACTGGGGTGTGTAGGTCATGGTAGAGCACTTGCCCAATATGATTAAGACCCTAGGTTCAATCTGAAGTTGGATGGAGAAGAGGGAAGGAAGAGGGAAGAAGGGATGGCAGATAATAATAAAGCTGTGACTATTTTGTTTGCCTATTCTGCTTCGTAGTAAGACTGGTGAGTGGTAAAGGAATTCACACTCTTGGAGAGAAACTTCATCTTAGTCACTGCACAGACCCCAAGGAGAAAGGAATCCAAAAGCAGACAGGGTAAAAACAAACAAAGAGAGCTTGGCATATGTTTCTGGGAGAACTCATGAGTTGTCTTCACATCAAGGATGTAGAAATAACACATACAGACAAGTTAATGTAGGACTAACTCAAAAGAAGAAAAAGTAATCTTCTACAACCACACACTCTGGTAAGTAAAAAGCACCCCAGGGTCTTAATGCATAGCTCAGACCAACTCTGGATTTGTAATCCTCCTGCCTCAGCCTCTTGTATGCTGGGATGACAGGCAGGTAAAACAACCCCTGGTTTTGACTCTTTCCTTAAGATTTTTCTGACTTATAAACCAAACAAGCTGAATATGTGTAAGGAAAAAGCCTCCTAATATATGTAAGGAGAAACCTTCTTAATATGTACATGCAGAAGAAACCTTCCTAATATGTGCAAGGAGAAAACTTCCTACTATGTGCAAGGAGAAAACTTCCTACTATGTGCATGGAGAAACCGTCCTAACATGTGCAAGGAGAAACCTTCCTACTATGTGCAAGGAGAAACCGTCCTAACATGTGCAAGGAGAAACCTTCCTACTATGTGCAAGGAGAAACCGTCCTAACATGTGCAAGGAGAAACCGTCCTAACATGTGCAAGGAGAAACCTTCCTACTATGTGCAAGGAGAAACCGTCCTAACATGTGCATGGAGAAACCGTCCTAATATGTGCATGGAGAAACCGTCCTAATATGTGCATGGAGAAACCGTCCTAATATGTGCATGGAGAAACCGTCCTAATATGTGCATGGAGAAACCGTCCTAATATGTGCAAGGAGAAATCTTCCCAATATGTGCATGGAGAAACCGTCCTAATATGTGCATGGAGAAACCTTCTAACACATGCAAGGAGAAACTGTCCTAATATGTGCATGGAGAAACCGTCCTAATATGTACATGGAGAAACCGTCCTAATATGTGCATGGAGAAATCTTCCCAATATGTGCATGGAGAAACCGTCCTAATATGTGCAAAGAGAAACTGCCCTAATATGTACAAGGAGAAACCTTCCTAATACATGCAAGGAGAAACCGTCGTAATATGTGCAAGAAGAAACCTTTCTATTGGTCATTTACTTATTAGCAGCCCTGGAGACCAACCCCAGGCCTCATACCTACCAGGCATGTGTTCACCACTCAGTTATTCCCACCCTAAGTCCTCCTCTTATACCTATTTACCAACAGGAAAGCGAAAACACTGCAATGGTAAATTGGGCCCAAGTCATAGTCCTGAGGTTTGGCACTACACTGACGACAGAAGCCAACATGATCTTTAACTCTAATAATATAAATGACTTCAGCAGAAAATTTCAAACATGCAGTCCCTTAATTGCTCTTGAAATTCATAAATATGTGTGTGTATAGACTTTTAAACTCATTAATAAAACTGAGTAAATCTTAAAAAATGGAATAATGGAGCCTTTGCAAACATCACGCAATGATTAAATGCCACAAACTTGAACCAACCTTCACTTTGGCAGTAGCTGTTAGCAGTACATAATCTGGTAACTCCATGGCATCTCGCTTCTGGTGCTGGGCCTCAGCACCAATCAGAAGGTTGAAATGGGTGGCCAAATGTCTACGCAACAAGGTTTTATTTGGTGGAATGTTCAATAACTGAGCCATAGTTTCCACATTAAAACGAGGCTCAAGAACCTGTAAGAAAAATTGGGATTGGTAAAAGGTACCATAGGTCATACATAGTTGTAGTGGAAGTACTTTACTGTTTGGAAAAGTACAGCTGAGGACAAGGACTTTGATTTTTTTTTTTTAGATTTATTTATTTTTTATGTGTAAAAGCATTTGCCTACATGTATGTATGAATACCACATGTGTACAGTGCCCAGAGGCTAGAAGAAGGTGTCAGATCCTCTGGAACAGGGGTCACAGATGGTCACTGGCCACCATGTTGGTGCTGGGAACTGAACCCAGGTCCTCTGCAAAAGTAGCCAGTGCTCTGAGCTGCCTCTCCAGCCTGGACTCATCAGCGTGCATGAGTCAGTGGGCAAACTGGTGGTGTAAGCCAGGCTTCAGGGGACGCAGTGCAGCAGTCTGTCTGGAACGCTGCCGCTGCCTCTGAAAGCCACCATGGAACATTGATGTGCAGAAATACAGCCTGTGTCTGCACAGGAGTTTAAAAACCATGATCGTATGCGAGATGGCTGCTGCATGTCATTCAATACTAAAGAGCAGTGAAAAGAAACGGGCATAAACCTAGTTTAGAGAAAGACACCAACGATGTAGTATCCAAGAGAGATCCAGCGTAAACACAGGAGAGCTGGGACCAGGCACCTCAGGATCACTAAAAACAACTGCTGCAGGGTGAGCGTCCCTTCCCACAACGCTGGAACCAGCGTTTAGATTCTGGAATATCAGCATGAAGTAATGATTTCTCTTGGGGGTAGGACCAAGTGGCAACACAGATTCACTTATGCTTTGTATACGCACAGCCTCATGACAACTTGATGCCATTCTTCCAGTACACAAGGCCTGGTCTACCACGTAGAATGTTCCACTTGTGACGTGGAAACACCAAAGTCACAGGTTCTAAAGCAATGCAGATTTCAGATCAAGACTGTTCACCCTTTGGACTAAGGGAAACCAAGCAAGCAGTCAATTTCAAACTGAAGAGAGCTTTACCATGAGCCCTCCATGGACACCGCTGCCTCTGAGATTGGGGGCATACTCTGCCAAGTCCACGGAGCGTAGCCACTCCATCACACGATGATTGGTCCACTGCTGGACCTCAGATGGGGTGATGCCGTTCTGTGAAAACAAACACATATTATACTTCAGATGCTGATGGCAGGACTGAGATACTAAACCTACACATGCAGTCTAACAGGTCTGGCCTGGAAAGCATACTGTCTGGTGTCCCATGAACTATTCAAAGAAAAGGCAAAACAAGTGTTTGCTAATTTGACTGCTCTTTGAGAGAACTTATACCACAGATTCAAGCTTTTTTATGCAGTAGTAAGAAAGGGTAAAGGAAATATCTACAGTGACATTTTACTCTGTGGCCTGAGGTGGAAATATCTACAGTAACATTTTACTCTGTGGCCTGAGGTGGCAGTAAAAAGTACAGCCATGAACAGGAGGACGCAGAGAAACAACCTGTGGCCTCAGTGACTCAGTGGAATCTTCATGGGAATAACAGGGAGGGACACAAGAAAGCAAAGCCCACGAAGTCAGTGAGTCGGGATCTAGGCTAAGGAAACCAGCTCTCTCTGCAGCTTCCAAGAGAAAGAGTTTTCACAGACAGACTGTCAAGTTCATGTGTGCAAACTTCCTGTCTGAAACGCTACCTCATCAGATGGCCGCCTCCGCAGGCAGTTTGGCTCGAAGTTGTTGATCCTCAGGACTTGGATGGCCCTTTTGATGCTGAGGTGGTGCAGTACGCTCACAACCTTCAGGGACAGCAGGTCACCCTGCAGGAAAAGTGAGGAGCTCACTGTGCTGGCCCACAGCAGTTCTCCACAAACCCTCCCTAGAGCCTCAAATTCCTATTTTCCCCCAAACCTGCTACCTCTTCCTCACTCTTGCTGATGCTCTGGTAGGACAGCGTCATACCAGGGCTCTGAAAAGCACCCACTGGTCACTACAAAAGACAACCTGACATTTATTGGGGGGCAGGGAGGGACAGTCTCTTTGCAGCCAGGCTAACCTCAACTCAAGGTCCCCCTGCTTCCACCTCAAGAGCAGCTGAGATTGAGTGCTGTGGTGCTGGGCCTCAAGGAATTCCTCTTTCCTCCTTAGTCCCCAGAACTCGCTCTGCAAGCAAAGTAGACACTCAAACACTTGAAGGTCAGCAGCCACATAGCCTTCCCTTTCTCTCAGCAGACCACTGAGCCACAATGTTCACTTAGGATCAAGTTTCCTGGCCTGCAAAGTTCCTGGTCTGAGTTATTTGCTTCACCTAGCAGACATGGTGACTGTTGAAAAAATCATGTCCCTCAGTGCAAGGTGTGGGTAATAGTAAAAGAGAAAAGAAATTAAGACGTTTAAGTTTCAACATATTACCATTCAACTTCTTCAAGGAAATTCTTTGGGCAGTCTGAGGCCCTAAAGAGTAATTTCAAACATGCCCAACACACCTAAACAAATTATTTCAGCAGTAGGTGATTTCAGGGCAGTGCCGAGATAAATCTTCTAAACACACCCAGAGAATAAGCAGAGGGCTGCCCATGTAGGCACACAGCATATCTTACTGATAACACATTTCTCGTGAAAAAAAAAAAGTCAAAGAAATTAACTTACTATAAAAATGTTTTTAAGAGTAAAAATAAAAAGTTAGTGGTTTATCCTTGAGGCTACTGAGCAAAAGTTATTTCCTAAATTTTTGTAGGATTAATTTATTAAAATTAGTATCTTACAATAAATTAGAAAAAGCATTTAACATATATTAATCTAAAATTGCGATACTCATTCCAAACATTTCAAGTATAGGCTACTTTCATTTAACTAAAGTCTATCAGATTAGGAAACATCTAAATGTATACTTCTGAAAATATATCTGAAGAATTTTTACAAGGATTGCTTTACTTTAAAACCCTTTTTAAAGGGCTGGAGAGATGGCTCAAAGGTTAAGAGCACTGCCTGCTCTTCCAGAGGTCCTGAGTTCAATTCCCAGCAACCACATGGTGGCTCATAATCATCTGTAATGAGATCTGGTGCCCTCTTCTGGTGTGCAAGCATACACACAGAACACTGTGTACATAATAAATAAAATCTTGTAAAACAAAAGAAAACAACAACAACAAAAAAGCCTTTTAAGTCTGGGCATTGCAGTGCATGCCTGTAATCCCAGCACTCAGAAGACAGAGGCAGGCAGATCTCTGTGAGTTCCAAGACAGCCAGAAGCTACACAGTGAGATCCCATTCCAAAAAAATAAAAAATAGAAAAAGCAAATAAATAAATATTTTAAAATAATTTTAGACTTAAACAAGGATTTCTAGATAGTGTAGAGTTCTATGTACATTTTATAGTTTCTCCTGATAGTCACATTTTATGAAAGTGTGGCACACATCAAAATTAAGAAACTAACTAATTAAAGATAAAACAAAGTACAGGTTTCATTCAGCTTTTGCTAACTTTAGGGCTTATTTGTTATTATCACTAGTGCATGTGTACGGCGTGTATGGAGGGACTCAAGCACACACGTGGAGACTAGAGGACAGCTTTGCAGAGCCAGTTCTCGCCGTCCACCTTGCCATGGGTCACAGGGTTTCCATGGGTCACAGGGACAGGACTTGGGTCATCCGGCTAGAACAGCAAGCACTGTGACCTGCCCAGCCATCTCACTGACTCCCAGATTGGCATGTTACTTCCTAGTTTTTGCCAGTTTCCCAGCCAGATCCTTTTTCTGTTCCTGGAGCCAATGCAGGGGACCACATTCTAAGAGGGACTTTTGACTTGGGACTCAAGATCACACCTTCCTGGGTGATTCAGTGTCGTTCAGGCATAAAGATCTTGCACATGCTTCCTGTGGTTTTTAAGTATGAAGTTGCTCAAATTCCGATGGAACATCTGACCCATCACACCCCATGGGCATGGACAGAGGCAAGTCCAATGTCACTCTATCTCTCATAGGTGGAACAGTGAGCTATTAAGAGAAGGACCCTGAACCAGCCTGGGTTTAAATTCTCTCTGACACCCTACCACTTAGTAACTATGGGAACCTCTCAATTCCTTGTTTCCTCATCTTAAGGATTGAGAGGATAATAATACTAACTTAAAGGGTTATCTGAGAATTGAGCATCCAGGAATACGTGCTTTAAAAAAAGACAGTGACTATAAAACGTGCCAAACTCTTTAGGGCTGTTCATGCAACCAAGCTTGAAAGTACTTTGGTTCAATGATAAAAGAACACAAACCCTATGAGCTGAGCCCAAATTTCAGTGAGAAATCTTTATGGACTTACCAGGTTAATTTCCACTTATTTAACAAAGATAATACCTGTGGGGCTGCCTAGTTTACAAAATGCTCTTCAAATAAAAGTATCTCATGTGAAACATTGATCCTACTATGGAATCTAGAACAAGGTTCTGGAATCCATCTCCCTGCTGCTCTAAGTAGGGAATGGTCTTTCTATACACTGGCTGCAAGACTAGAAATATCCAATGAGAAGGAAATTGTGCCAAGGCCTCCCCTCCTCTCCTTCACCCCAGTAACTCTCGCCTCATGGGACTGATCTGAAGTGAGAAGCGTTTCAGGGAAGTTATGTAAAGGAAGGCAAAGGAGGAGGCCAGGCCTTGTGAATGCCAGGACAAAGGGTAATACAGAAATGACCAGGTCTTCACTCCTCTCTAAGAGATATAATTCACATATCACAAAACGCAAACATTCACAATGTGCACTTCAGAATTTATTGACTACATCAAACCTGTAGATAGCTTAGGCTGCCACGCCCACGACGGTGTCGCCCGCGTGACAAATGCCTTGGATGAGGTGGTTACGTGGGAAATGGGGGCTTGAGGCCCTCGGGTCTATGCCCCCAGCGACCCCTTATCAATCTGCCCGAATCATGGTGCCAGGCTACACGGAACCACGCAAAATCTGCTTGCAGAGGCTGGCTGGCATTCTGCTTTTTTTCTCTTTGCAGCTGTGACTATTGCTGTTTCCTTGTGTATTGATTTCAGGGAGTTAGCTCTCAATGTTCCTGATGTGCCCCATAAAGAGAATAATGATTCCTCAAAAGTGGCCTCAATACCCCCACCTATAATTCAAGCTTTTAGGCAAACAGTTAAAGAGGGTCCTAGAAGTTTGGGGGAATTTATGAATGATTTAGAGCAAAAAGAACTTATGACTCAGAGGGACGAAGATTCTAGCGAGGAGAGAGGAAAGTAAAAGTCCAGGAACTCATATGCAATCCACACGCGCAGCCAACAGCAGCTGCAAGGAAGCAGTTACAGGAACTAGCCAGTCCTACAAGAATTATCAAGGGACAAATAGAGTTTCTCATCAAGGGTCGGTGGTGGCAACCCCCTAACTTTAATCCTAGATATAATAATTATTTGGAGCCATTGCCCTTTACGGGAGCTTATGATAAACATGGGAACCAATGGGTGAATCATAATAGTATGAAAACAGAATGGCATAAGTTACAGTTCATGGAAAGACTAGCTAGGTCCCAACCTCCCTGGTGCCTTCTCACCTGCAAGCAAAGGTTAAATATTTTCACACAAATGAAACCATGGTTAGAACGATGGTGGGAAGGGTTTAATTTTGATACAAAGCAAAGGTCTAATAATTACATAGAAGGAAAACTTCAGCTAGGGCCGTAATGTTCTCTGGATGAGGGACCACAAAAGAGAAAATAACACCTGTACTCATGAGATCCGTTAATCATTCTGAGAAAATTGTGTGACCACATTGTTAATTCTATGTCTATCGCCCCACTGGCCGATTGCCATGTTTCCTCAAATGATTGTATAAAAAACACTGCTTGATCTGAGTAAAATTGCAGCAGTTTCACAGCATACTCTCGTGTCTGTGTCTGTCTGTCATTCGCCGAATCCCACTTATCCTGAGTACCTTCGACCTGTTCTCCCTCGGTCTGGTGTTCCTACTGAGACCCAGTCCGCAACATTAGGCTAAATTTAGTTTTGCTGGCTTAAATTGGGTTTCAAATTATCTCAAAGCTGTACCAATTGCCAAATCCTACAACATCAACTTCTCAGGAAACACCTAAAATAGAGAGCCACTTACCACAGTCATGTAATGCAGCATCCGACCATCCACCCGCCCTTCATCAAACTGGGTCTTGTACTGAGGGAGGCCAATATCATCCAGCCATCCTAAAGAAGAAAAGCCAGTGTCATTACCATGCTACAAAATGCCTATTTCTTGATCAAGGAGAAAATTCGACAATATTTATTCTTCTTCACCCATAAGAGCCTCTTACTAGTGACCCAGTTGAAGTCCAGCTTTCCATAGTTGGTCTCTTCTTCAGATCCCAGGGCCTGCAGGGCCAGCTGGAGCTTCTTGCGATGCAGTGAATGCTTGATGCCAAGCTCCTGAACAATAAACAGAACCTTAGAATTCTACCCATCAGTGCTGGACCTACCAGCAAAGAATGCAGAATCCTCCACAATGAAGCTGTACTTCAAGAACAGCTCTGTATTAAGTTAAAATACTACCTCAGGCTAATAAACCCATTCTATG